CAATCAAGGGCAGCGTGGAAGGCTCCTTAGCGATCGGACTGACCCTGCAAGTGTGCATATAGGCCCCTCGGCAACAGCGTAGGGCCTGTGGACAGCGTAATGAGCCTTAAAATATCCCCAATCACCACCCTCTCAACAATCAAAAAATTATTTTTGTGTGCGCATGGGTCTTTCACTTTGTTTGTGACTGTTCTTGGTCGCCTAGGGGCCCAAAGACGTCAATTTTTTAGCGATTTGTGTTAAACACTGCGTCGGTTCGGTCGGTTTTGGTCCCTTGGAGCCTATGGGCCACTTTGGAACCAAAGAGGGCATGGCCCCGTGTCACCCCAATCCCTCCCCAGAGATTCTTCACTGACCGAAGGTACCACCACGTGCTGGCGCGGCGAGGCTGAAGGGCTTGTAATGATCACGGCACAATAGACCGGAAACGAGAAAGCGTACCCGCTACGACCGGGCTAAGCTACCCACGTAATGCCAAGGGAGGAAACAGGCTTAAGGTCACGCAGGGTGGTCGATGACGCTTCCGAGTCACAGAATACTGTCTTGTTTATACTGGGAGAAAAGGGTATCGGCAATTGTTTGCTGGCGTTACGCCTAAGTGCTACAGGGGTAGTTCATTTCCCTGAATTTACGACTGAAGAAAGTATTTCGATCGCTTGTCAAATGCGGAGCCGTTTGATATCAATTATCAGCGCATGTTCATCGTCAGTCCAGGTGAGCAGATGGACGAAATGGCGACAGAGTGCCATAGGCCTCTGCGGATTGATCTTAAACTGATCACTGATCAAAACTGACCGGCTTCTGATATGCCTGATTCAATCCGACGCTGGCAGAGCCCTTCAGATTGCACGTGAGCTGGCACGCAGCCAAATATGCAGGGACAAGGAGCGACTAGCCGCTCAAGGCCACCAGTTTTCTGTGGACGAGGCGTGTTCGCCGCTGTGAATATATCGACCGTCCGTAGTCAGGAGTCCCGGTCGGGGGCCTGTTGGTGACGTGGCTGCCAACTACGTAAAATAACCAGAGGTAGACGCCGTTGCTCAGAGGCAGTTTTGTTATTCGTTTCTCTGTTCCTTTAGAAAGATAGTTCCGTTACTTGTACCTTCGTTCCTCTTTAGGACATGCAACATAAGTTAATCTGATTTTTACCCGATTACTTCAAAATTATAATAAGTCGTTGCTCCATTACTCTGAAAAGAAAATATAAAAATACAGCTTTTTCAGTTCTCTAAGTAAGGTATATTCCCTTATAACGTTAGTTTGGAAGTATAGTGTAAAGACAAATCACTTCCATGCATATGAGAAGCGTGATTTAGCTCTCGCTGTGCTCACTATTGCCTCAGTCTGCGTGGACACCAAACCTTTGAAGTTCGAATGTACGGTCAGTTCAAAGGATGGGAATGCGAGTCATAATTCGAAGACATCCGTGGCCAGCATTTGAATGGACAGCCACCGTCCGCCAGCCCTCCAATCATCGTGGGCCCCGCGGCATGTTGACGTCTCTAATTGGTTGTTACCTCACACGGGGTGGAGCCAACGTGGTGTACGGTAACCTAAATTATGTTTTATTTCAATGAACTGAGCAGTTGCATGATGCAGCTGACGCAGTCACACTTCGGACTGGCGTTGAATTCGAAGTTACCGGACCTACCGGAAGATTCCGAGAAAACGGGTATTACGGATGAAATCGCACTCATGTAATCTAACGAGTGCAATGTACAAAAAAGACGGCATACTCGGTTCAAAACCGAAACTAACGGAGTGACGGATCGCGCCCACCTATAAAAGCAACACATAACACACCTGCGGTGATCCCTAACAGGGCTGCGAAGACACAAACCACACAAGCGTGTGGAGCATGCTGCAAGCGGAACTGGTAGTGTGGTGCAATATCTGGTGGAACTGCGACCGTTTCGCAAGACTCCAGCCATAAGCGGGACACCATGAGGCCTGTGGAGATGACCGACCGCTGAGCGCTGCACGGACCACGAGCTGATCTGCAGATGCCCTTCGTGGCGTCGTTTTACACCCGTCACCTGATGTAAGGTATAAGAAGGCTGGAAGGTTTAACAGTTCAATATGTAGCATCCACAAACACTACCAACACATAGGTTATGCGTGTGTTTTAATCGTGTGTTAGAAAAGCATGCAGTGTAAGCAAACACGGTGCATATAGAGTTATGCTGACAGCAACTGAGTTTCATTAACCGCGAGGAAATGGTTAAAGGGAATCTTTGAGGGTTGAAGATATTAAAGCAACTGTCAGATATGATGAAACTTGCTGTCTTATAACTATTGGTGTGCTTTTAGGCAGAAAAGGCTGCTCTCGACAACACAATATCTCTGGTTAGTAAATATGCTCCTCGATGCGTCCTTGTTTGACTACACCATCGCACCTCACACAACATTGATTGAGAGCCAGCACACCCGCCTGACTACGGGCCTGTGCACCGGATAGCCGCGTGTCCGGGTCAGGATGGCCTTCTTCGGGATTACGAAGCCCTTTCCTGGATTTGGAGGCCCCTTTGTGCATCGGAAGGATACTGTTCTGGATCGGGAGACCTCTCCACGCATCAGGAGACCCTTTTCTGATACGGAAAACCCTGTTTTCGAATAGACAGGCTCCTTGCTGGATCGAAAGCTCCCTGTTTTAGTCAGAAGGCCCCTATACCGGACTGCTTATTGTCGACATTTTTACGTGGATAGCGATACATATAACGATTTGTATAACGATTGATTGGTAGTGGAGAACGTGCCCCTGGTGACCACCCCTTGAATGTAACACTGCCCAGGAGGCCCCGTGTAAGAAGGCACCTTTTTGTCAAGGACGTCCCCTGAAAAATCCCGACCCAGTAGCTCAAAATCCGAGACGCCGCCCCTGCACATAGAATATGCCAAAGGAACGCTACATCATTTCAGATAGCAGGCCCACGTTAAATGCTTCATTAGAAGAGTCAAACGCACAATAGATCAGGCTTACGTGCGCTTCAGCACAAATTGTTCTTTTCCTTCCTCCAGCTTCACATAAGCTTATTTTCCGTACGTTTTCCATTGCCAATACCTTCGTGCTGGCATGGGCTTTAAGGCTACTCGCCCCTTCCACCCCTTCGCAAAAATCCGGGTACTGCTTTGTCACTGAATGCATCAATTGTTTGTGTAAAATCGTCTGAAGTGCAAGCTTTACGTCTATAAATTTCGAGATAACTTTCCCTCACATACCTGTGTTGACGAACCGAAATGTATTCCACACTGTTTAGAGACTAAAACTCTTTCGAGCCCTGGAGCAGCTCCAGCCATGTAGCTTTAATTATATTGCAATGATCACACTCCCGTTTTAACTGCTTCACTAACCAGGAATGAGTTGCTTCTGTAATCCCAAGGCGGCGCGTATAATCCCGACGAAATCATCATCTTGGCATGATCGACAAATTTTACTGGAAGCCCATCTCAATACCCAGCCTTGGGACCGCCCATGCGCATGCCATGTGCCAGATATTTTCATACGATGCATAAAAACGAAGGTTGGGAGCAACAGAAAATTTAAAAGACCAGCTCCAAACCGTTTCGGAGACCCCAGCGCCAGGCCCAAGGGGCGGAATCCACCGCCCGGAACAGATTAAAGAATTTAAAAACAGGCGCCCCGCGAAGCCAAAATAACTTATACAATCATGTCAAGACGCGGCGCAGGTACCGTCCAATTACATTCAGGGTCAAACACTGAATGACAGACAGACAGTCATCTCATGCCAAAGACGGTACATAATAAGCAACTGAATCCTTAATATTCCGCACCACAATCGACACTTCACGGTCACCTTGATCGCCAGGATACTGTCAGCACGTACAAATAGAATGGAGCCTCTGATTTGAGGATTGGGCCAGTATATGAAAGTCTTTACTGGCAGATGACACACGTGGCAGAATTTTCCATTTTTAAACTCTGATAATTTTGTTCCGTGTTTTCGTCGATGCTGTGCGAGATGCAACGCGCGCATGTACAGGAAGGCAAATTGTAATGTGCCAGAAGGGATCCAGTGGATGCGGACATCAGCGTGTCCGGAATGGTCTCCCACCGGTTCGAGAGCGATGTGATTGAGATTTATGTCCTCACACGAGGTCGGATATTTGACCGGACCTCTGGCATCATGGTACATAAGTAGCCCGCATATCCAAAAATTGCCACCTGCCCGGCGTGGATGGTACTACTGCATTTCGAACCATCTGGAACGATATGCGGATTCTGTATAAATATGGAGAATGTCAAGAATGCTGCTCAACCAAGCAAATGTGTGGAAGCGAGACGTCTCAGAAAACGACCCTGCTAGCAGTATGGACATTGGGCCAGCGCATCGAAAGAGATTGCTGTCGCCACCAGCTTGCTACCGCAATATTGTCGGGGATGCCATCTCCCCAGGCATCACCGTACTGAGGTCCGTTAAACGCAATGGACGGCATGGGTTTGGTGAGGCCATATGGGTAGCAGAACTGCCTGACACCTTTCACGGCGTGTATGTCTGCGACCATGATGCATGCATGCCTCTCCTGCATAATTCACCACCTGGACATGTAAACGACGGGTGCCATCGTCTCCCTTCCCGGCGCACACGCGCAGACGTGCGTCCTCGGAAGGCTGTCTCGCAGGTGACGCGTTGCTCACCGCCGCTGAGGGCGGCGGCGTGGGCCGACCGGTGCTCAGACCGCCCCTGGGGGAGGCGCAGCTGGAGGCGGGCCCGGTCCGGCGCTGGGCCCCGCAGAGGGCGCGCCGGGCCCCGATGCTGGCGCCGATAGCCCGTCTTGTTAGGCGCAGGCCGGCAGTGATGGCCGTCGATAGTCTACCGGCGCTGTCGCGCCACCGGCAGCGGTCAGCATCAGATGGCCAGGAGTCGCGTGACTGCCCCTGGAGACGGGGCGCCCGGCGGACGGCGCGCCACTCGGGCGGCGGCGGCGCACGCGGCAGCACACCATGTCGGCGGTGCAGACGGTGGAGCCGGTGGCGGTGGCGCCGGTGGCGGCGATGGCGCGGCGGGTCAGCGCTACGGACGGCGGCCGTCGCGTGCTGCTGCAGTGGGCCGATGGCACCACATCGGCCTTCCCGGCCGTCTGGCTGCGGGACAACTGCCACTGCGCCCAGTGCTTCACCAGCGGCGCTATCCACGTGCGCACGCTGCTTATGGAGCACCTGGACGTCGACTGCACTGTCCAGGAGGTCAAGGTGGGGGTCGCTCTCCGGGAAGCGTCAGGAGGAACCCTAGGCTGTGGACAAGGCTGAGATAGGATGCCTTCGCGTTACACGGCATGTGGCCGTGCACACTGTGCAGCGGAGGTGAGCGATGAGGCAAGAGACCTTGCCGCCGCGCGGCCAGAGACGCTGGTCGATTTCTGCGCCGAGTTCTGTAGTAAACACAACCCACTGGCAACTGTTCACTGCTAGGACAAAATATGGAACGCGCCGTTTTGGAATAATAGGGGATATAAGTCACGACAGATGTGATCTTCCACGGAAGGTAAGTACCTCATCAACAGGCCTTTTCCTTTCCGTAAACTGACAAACGCTTGGACGTACAAAAACTAACCCGAGGTTGAAGTCGGATTATGTACATTAAACTCCGTTTCCGCATGTCTGCCTGTCTTTCCGTCTGTATGTATGCCACCACAGGACACTAACCCCAGAACCGGCCAAACGCAGACGCAGCACGCTGTCGTATGGACAGACAGAAGCATCCAAACTTCGAGCGTGTGCTTAGACCACCGCCGTCGTTACAAGTGGCCCCGCGCTCCCGCAATGAGCGCCGGAGTCGGTCCTTCATGCCTCCGCCCCGTTCGTCGTTCATCCCGCGTTAGCGCCGGTGCGGATCGTAGCCGGGTTTTGGTAGCACGACGCGCGGTGTGGCAGACCGCTCTCCAGATTGGACGGCGAAGTGTCTGCACAACCTACTGCAAAGCCAAAACCGCATGATGCCGATTAACTTGTGAATACGTTTCGTGCTAAATTTGAATAAAATAGATAGCTGCCTTCACCTTAACGTCCCCACCGGTCGCAACATATCTTAAGTATTTGGAGCCACATTGAACCATCCCTGACCTCTCACGCCAGCGTGGGCCAGCCAGCGCCCCTGACCGCTGACACCGGCGTGGGCCAGCCAGCGCCCCTGACCGCTGACACCGGCGTGGGCCAACCAGCGCCCCTGACCGCTGACGCCGCCGTGAATCAGTCAGAGCCCTGACCGCTGACGCCGCCGTGAATCAGCTGGAGCCCCTGACCGCTGACGCCGCCGTGAATCAGCCACAGCCCCTGACCGCTGACGCCGCCGTGAATCAGCCAGACCCCCTGACCGCTGACGCCGCCGTGAATCAGCCAGACCCCCTGACCGCTGACACCGGCGTGAATCAGCCAGGAGCCCCTGACCGCTGACGCCCCTGCCCGTCGCCGCCAGCTGGAGCAAGAGGGTGCCGAGGTGGCCATGCGGTGGTCAGACGGCCACGCCGGTACGTTCTCGCCCGGCTGGCTGCGCCAGCGCGCCTTCGAGCCGGCACAGCGGGCGGCGCGTGGCGTCGTGTGTAGGCCGACGCTACAGCCGTGGGACGCCGCGCTGGCGGCCGACCTGCCGCGCCTGCCGTTCGTGCGCGTCATGCAGGAGGACGCGGCGCTGCTGGAGGCGCTGCTCCACCTGGAGCGGTACGGCCTGGTGCTGCTGGAGGAAGCGCCCGCCCAGCCCGGACACGTGCGCCGCCTCTGCGAGCGCATCGCCTTCATGCGCACCACGCACTTCGGGTAAGGAGGAGGGCCACCGCCATGCGCACCACGCACTTCGGTTAAGGGGGAGGCGCCACCGCCACGTGCACCACGCATTTCGGGTGAAGGGAAGGCACTACCGCCATGCGCATCACGCACTTTGGGTGGGGGGGAGGCTCCACCACAACGCGACGGACCCTGCCAACCATGCAATTTGAAAAGTGTAGATGTGGAAAGAACGGTAGGATTCAAGCCCGCCTATGCCATGAGGCAGGAACGGCCGCTACTTAACACGTATGCTTCAGTCTGGAATGTCCTTGCTCAAGCCTCACTTCTCGTGCGATAATGCTCAGCTGCCTTAAAGAACTGGTAGGTCATTTTCAAATTTCAGTAGGATTTATGATCGGTAAATGTAATCGTTACTATTGAAATCGCTGACGGCCTTGGGTGTAGATACAGACCGACGGTGAGGTGACAAAAAAGCAGACTAGGAAAGACAGAACATCATCCAATTTTGACCGTAGACCGTCCTTAGGTGAAGGAGGGTGGGGAATAACGGGAGGAGCTACCACACAGCAATACGGCAAGATGCAGATCTTACTCGTGATTTTCTCGCCCTCGGTGCGAGCTATACCCAGGTTAGTCAGTTACATCAATTTTCGTTATCGGGCTGGTCTGTCACAAACTTCATTCAATAGCGCGATAGCTTTTGCTCCAGATGAAGCTCTGTCACTTTTCCCGGCTGAGCTAACCGGCAGCCGGTCCTGTCCCCGCCTCAGACTCTGCCTGGTTTCAGGGAGGAGTTCACTGTGCGGGTGAAGGTGGATCCCACTAGCATCGCATACACCGCGCGCAACATCGAGATACATACGGACGCCTGCTACTACGACTACATGCCCGGTGTGAGCACAGCGGGCCAAATCGTAACCAGAGGTGCCTCATGCCTGGTGTGAGCACAGCGGGCCAAATCGTAACCAGAGGTGCCTCATGCCTGGTGTGAGCACGGCGGGCCAAATCGTAACCAGAGGTGCCTCATGCCTGGTGTGAGCACAGCGGGCCAAACCAGGCGCAGCGGTGCAGCAGCACCAAAGTAGGATTCGATCTCCTCATGCATATGCGTTGGCAGCATTCGTTGGTGAATAGCTATTGGAGCGGCAGGTCGGCTAAACAACACGCCCCCTTCGGCATCCTCGTAGGAGGTTCCGTACGCCGCGTGGACCAGGTGTACCGTCTGACTGCATCCTGCCCGTGCGCTCGCCACCCAGCGCGGCCGATGGCGATGTGGCCCGGCGGCGGCGAGCCCTAACAGGCCTCGGCTCTGTGCTGCAGCTCCAGATTCTGCACTTCATTGTGCAGTACGAGGGCAAGGGCGGGGAGACGCAGCTGGCGGACGGCGCCCAGATCTGCCGCGACCTTCGCCAGCAGGACCCGGACGCCTTCCAGCTCCTCACCACCGTCAAAGTCGACTTCAAGAACGTGACGATGGGCGAAAACGGCAAACACCACTTCAAGCTGCTGCAGGCGCCCGTCATCACGTGAGGGCATGTCAGCTGTTGAGGTGCCGCCGCCTGTGCCGCGATCACTCTCGCTCTTAGCGCTGGTTCCTGTAGCGCTGGTTAGTGAACGCTATAACAGCTGTAGTCACGCGGGAACTTGCCGTGATAGAAGGACGCTCCAGTACAGCCTGCTTCTTGATTCCTTTCGGGCATTGGCCGTGAAACCAATTACTTAAACTTCACGTGCTTTGTAATGTAATACAACGCAGGTCCCCACGCACTCTTTTTGGAGTGCTAGCGGCTGCAGAGCCCACCTTAGCGCCAGGACGTCATGGTGTAATTGGGACACGAGCCCGGGCCCCGCACGTGGAAGCGGAAGATGCTAACCACCCGGCCATTACGCTCACTAAGTGTCATGCGCGATCGCCCGGCCGGCTTCGAGCGGCGGCGGCTGGCCTGCGCCCGCCTCGACGCCGCGCCGGACTCCCGGACTCCCGGTCCGCGGCCTGCGGGACCTCGGCGGTCGTCACCGCCCCGCCGCGGCCCGTTCCAGGCTGGACTCGGAGGGCGAGTTGCAGTGTCTGCGCTTCACCACCTCGCAGCGCGACTCCTACTTCTCGGCGCCGATCGAGCAGATCGAGCCCTGGTACAAGGCCATGAAGAAGCTCCTCAATATGTTCTACGACGACAAGTACATTATCAAACGGAAAATGAAGGAGGGTGAGTGGCTGATGGATGGGGAATGACGCTGCCGGTAAGAACGAGCATGCGGTTTGACCTCACAATCAGGAAAACAGCTCGGGATCAGACAATTTCGAATATAATTTTTGCCTCAATAGTTTACATGTATTGTGCCTATTACTTATAGTTATTGCCTATTGGTTATATGTGTGCCCACGTGGTTTGACGTGATGATCAAGAAAGCAGGTCGAGAACAGATACTTTTAAGATCCCGTTTGTGATAGTTGATCAATTTGCGTGCTTACTTAAATGTGTAAGATGCGTGCTGCCTGTATTTCCAGTAGAAAAACGCGTCGCGTTCTATGCTTGCGCGCCAACCTACTTCACACGCGCTCAAAGCCCAACAGGAATTAGTATCCCCTCCCTCCTCCTTACGTGAACGATTTATGGGTCACAGCATGTCAATACTTCTTTTTTTAGGCACTTTCAAATAAAATTTATCACAAAAAAACATTATAGGACGCATAGTAAAACCGTACAAATCGACATGCGTGGTAAAGATAATAGTACGATTTGGCGCATAGCATGTGTGCGCATAGTGTCATCTGGAAAGGTTTCCTCAAGGCTTCTGAAATGTATTCTGAACCAGTAATGGAGCAGCTGTAGTAGTAGAGGCCAACTTAAATGCAACACGTGATGCTGGTTGAAAACAGGCGCTATTCGATGCCTTACCAAGATCCCTCTCTCTCTCCGTGACCGCTGCCATTGGTCCGAGCATGGCCGGGTCGCCGGGCCGGTATACCAGAACAGGGAACGAGGGACACCCGGCGCAGGCCATGGCAAACGATGCTAAAGTAAACTACACCCTTCTGACACCAAGCGTTATGAAGTGTCGCCTGCATCGCCTCAGACTTCTGCCAGGGTCTGCGCGTTGGCCGTAAACAGACGGAACCGGAGACAGTTGTGTCCCTGTTACCGCCGCTCCTGAGTTAAAGCTTAAGTGCAGCGACGCTCCTCAACGAGCTCATAATGGCTTGCCCACATGATGGGCTGTGAAATCTTCACCCTGATCTATGACGTATGCGGAGGAATGCAACAGTTCATGGTTGGGTGTGTCGTGTTGATGCTGTGCTTCAGCTGCGACAAGTCTCGGCGCATTACACTACACGCTTGAGTGGGCTGGGCACAAAATTATAACAAACCAAGCCGCCTGGCAACACTGAGCGGTGGCTGGAACCTACCAGGCCTGGTGCAGCTATGCTCGGTGTGTTGGTGATCTCAGCCTGTGACCCGGTCTGCGCCGCAGGCGATATGATCGTGTTCGACAACGTGCGCCTGGTACACGGCCGAGAGCCGCTGCTGGAGGGCGGCTGCGTCGGCGAACGACACCTGGAGGGCGGCTACCTCGACTGGGACGAGGTGCGCTCGCGGCGCCGCGTCCTTCAGGAGCGGCTGCAAGGCAACCCGTCTGGCTACGGCTTCTGAGCGACACGCGCTGCGACTACGGCAGACCACGCGGCCGTCCTGCGCGCGCTGCGGCGGCGGCGGCCGTCTGGTGTCGGCGGCGGCGGCGAGATTAGCACACATCAGCGGCGGCTGTCTGGTGTCGGCGGCGGCGGCGAGATCAGCACACTTCGGCGGCGGCTGTCTGGTGTCGGCGGCGGCGGCGAGATCAGCACACATCAGCGGCGGCAGTCCGGTGTCGACGGCGGCAGCGAGATCAGCACACATCAGTGGCGGCCGTCCGGTGTCGGCGGCGGCGGCGGGATCAGCACACATCAGCAGCGGCAGTCTCACCGTGCGGAGTCAGGCGTGCGCTGTGCCGACGATTAAGCGTACGTACTGTGTACGTACTGTAGATGTGTAATGAGCGTGTGGTCGTGGTCTCATTTTAGAGGCCTTGACTACAAGCGGTAGTCGAAGTAGCAAGAAATGTGTAGTCACATACTAACCTCAGGTGGTTTTCAACACAAGTACACGTCCACCAAGATTGGTTTTCCGTTCATCGGAGCACACACGGAAAGAGAAGAACAACGACAGATGGAAGTTCATTCAACTGGTCGCATGCACTGTCGCGCCGTCTGCAGCATCCGGAGAAAGTTATGGCTTATGGCTCTGGAAGTTAACGAGCACATCTGTGCCGGGACGAATCCCCAACCAGGCAGACTCGGAGTGTTTGACACGCGGGCCAGCAGCCGATGCCGGCGCTCGCATCCCAACGTGGGGGCAGCTGAATCACCCGGACGTTCAGCGTCGCATCCCCAAGTAGCCAAACCTGTGACAGGTCACGACGATGGGCGGAAGCAGCTTCGTAGTACGAGTCACGTAAGAAAGAGAACGATTACCCATCACGCACCAGCCTAAGCAGAATGACATGGAAGGAGCTTTGCGATGGTTTAGTGCCGAACTCTCCACAGGTCCCCAGTGGTGGCGCCACTGGCTGATGACAGGAAGCGATAATGGAAAGGTTCAAGATCGTGCAGGTTAAGTTCCACTTTGTGTCCTTTTTCCCACGACACATGCGCAATGACTAAGTACTGGAACATACTAGAGGTGCCGATTTCTAGAGGTTCTTGTCCAAAGTCCGATCCAAAGTCCCAAGATGGGCTGCATTTCCTTACCCGAATCGCATGAAAAGGAACAAAAGGATCGTGGGTAAGCTATGTGCGCCATGCATACCAATTTGCGACACGACAGAGCCATCACGGAAAATTCAGAGTTCTCCCCAGTCTGCCCAATTTCCAAACTGGACTTCCAAAATTGTAAAATTCAAGTAATTTGGAATCCAATCGATACCTCTACAACATGGCTGTGCGAGCGGTCCTGTGATGCCACCGCCGCCATCTGAGTCACATCAGCGGCGTGTGCTGGGTGACCACGCCCAGCCCGGCCGCGGCCCCCAGCAGACGGCCAGCCAGTCGGCGAACTCGGGCCGTGTCTGGCCCCGGTCCGGCGGGAGCGGGCGCCTGGCTGGCAGCGTCGGACGGTGCTAAGCGTCCGCAGCGGACCGGACGCCCCGGGGCAGAGGTCGGGTGGGTCTGGCGGGGTCGGAGCTGCGGGGTGGTGACGCTGCACCGGGAGTTGGGTCAGCTCCCTCCGGCCGGCCCCTCCGGTCGGCCCCCTCCGACCGGCCCCCTCCCGGCCCCCTTCGGTCGGCCGCTTCCGGCCGGCCGGCTACAGAGACGAGGCGCGGCCCCTAATGTATGCGAACCTGTCCCTGAAGCATGCGGCCCTGCCCCTGTGTGCGACCTTGCCTCTGATGCGTACGACCCACCTCCTGATGTATGTGACCCTGTCCCTGATGTGTACGACCCGACCCCTGATGTGTACGACTCAGCCCCTGATGTATAAGACCCTCCCCCTGTGTGCGACCCTGCCCCTGATGTGTGCGACCCGGCCCCTGTGTGCGACCCGGCCCCTGATGTGTGTGACTGTCCTTGATGCGTGCGCTCCGGCCCCTGGGAAAAATGGAATGAAAAAACAGGATGTCACCTTCGTCATCTTTCCCCAAGACGACGTGCTGTGGCTTGGGGTAACAAACGCATCGCATGGACTAGCGTAACACAAGAAATGAAGCCCAATAGGATTGGGGCAATCTACCTCAACGGCTTCCGTCCACCAAGTCCCACGTTCTGGGACTTCTTGCGGTCCAGATGGGTTTCTCATTATGCATGTCTCCATGGCTATACGCAGAAACAACAACGGCCGTGTATTTAAATCATGAACGCTTGTAGCACACGCCCTCACCAGAAAATTATCCTAAAATAAATAGTGGCTCTGGAAACCCGCATGAATTACACAAACGCTTTGCTCAGCAAATAGTTGCCTTTGAAGACCTGAAAACATTGTCAGGCGCACACGGGATCATTGATTGCTCTTGACTCAAAAGTCGGGTATGTCGAGAAACACTTGGTTGGCTCCGCTGAGACGTCTGTCCGCAGGGTGAATGAACCAACGCAGGTAAATGACAGGTGGGTGCGAATTATTGTTTATGGGTTCCGGACCACAAATAAATAAGTTTAAAAAATGCAAAAGCATTGCCATGGAGTGCACGACGATGTCATTCATGCATCCATTTCGCAGGGTAAGAGAAAACTCCAAGAAAAACACCGAAACTAAACGTAAAATGCAATACATGAACCAAACAAAGCTGCTCAGCCACTGCACTATTTCTGGTCGCTACCAACAACTCCTAAAATGTGTACGAAAGTAAACACGTAGATTCATCAAAGGCAACGCCTTCGCCTCACTCGCCGCCACTGCAAAGGCATCAGCATGGGGTCTCAGCTAGTCCCTGTAGCAGCTTGACTGGCTGAGTGACGTCACCGCCCTCAGAACCTGACGGCTGGGTGACGTCACCCGCCCTCAGAACCTGACGGCCGTTCCCCCGCCGCGCGAGTCCGAGTGCGAACTCAGCTGGTCATAGTTCTTGGTGATGCCATTGCAGCTGGGATAGGGCTTCTCCTCGCCGCGCGTCTCGTGGCCCATCGCCTCCAGGGAGCGCAGCACGCTGCTGGAGAACTGCAGCGGCCGATCCTCTGCCAGCGCGAGCGCTGACGATCACCTGACTGGCACACCAGCACCACGGCCAACGCCGCGGCGCTGTAGCGGCGGCAGCGTATGTCCTCATAGTGCGACAGCTGTTCATAGTGAAGGATTGAACAGGTGCATGTATGTGGCACAGGGGAGGACTGAATAGGTGTACAGATGTGGCACAGTGCAGGCTTGACCGGGTGTACAGATGTGGCAAGGTGGAGGTTTGATCAGGTGTACAGATACGACGACATGTTAACAGACAATGCCAGGGACTTTCCAGTACCGGCCAGATCGTGGCCAGGCTTACGACAGCAGGTCTGGCCGGCTGGGTCGGCTCGTCCGCAGTGTCCACACACCTTCGATGCCCAGCTGGACAGAGTCGGGGCTGGTGTGGAGGCGCGGCGCTTCCAGCGAGGAGGTGAGATTCTCCCGCGGGTCCGCCAGCCGGATCACAGCCTGCGTCAGCAGCGAGGCGTCGCTGCCGCCCGTAACCACCCGCTGGCCGCATACCTGGCGGAGCGACATCTCGCGTCAGTCGATCGAACCTGAGCTGTCGGCCGCTGCCGCGGGACGGTAGCAAGTTAGTGAGGATAGTCGGGTGTCACACGCTGACGTAAAACTCACAACAGACAGCCGACGCCACGTTCAGGACTCCCCAACCGCACACTTTGCGCACGCACCGATGCGCACAGTGAACAGCATCGAGGTGGTGGGAAACAGCGCATTCAAAGTATGTTGCTACGCGCCTTCGGCGTCATCAGTATGGCGAGAGAGATGATAGTGCGCGGCCGTCTGCACCTACCTTTGGCGCCATCAGTATGGCGGGAGAGACGGACGTGAGCGGCCGCCGGCCGGAGAGCGGCAGGTTCAGCGTGCCGGTGGACGCCTGCGCCGGATCATAGAAAGCCGACATGGCGTTGTTGAAGACGATGCCGCTGGTCGAGCGGAACTTCGATCCGAAGAATGCGCCCACGCCGCTGTCCGGGCGCCAAGGGCAGATGAGATGTGCAGGAATCGGTCCACAGACGCACAGGACACAATGGGGAGCGCTGTTGCAGCTCAATCAACCGCAGGGGCACAGTCACAGCGGAAACATACGCCTCAGGACTACAGACTTCAACACCCCGCATATGAGTATCCTACGCCGATTATATATATATATATATATATATATATATATATATATATATATATATATATATATATATGTGGGGTGTTGAATATGCGGGGTGTTGAAGTCTGTAGTCTTGAGGCGTATGTTTCCGCTGTGACTGTGCCCCTGCGGTTGATTGAGCTGCAACAGCGCTCCCCCAGCGCCCCCCCCCCCCCCCCACGATGACGCCAAGTCAAAGGCCCAGAAAATAGAACGATGCATCAAAAAGTTCGTCAATGCTGTGTCCGCAGTTATTTTTAATCAAACATGTATCAAAGAAAGGATTCTGCCAAAACATTCCAATATATATATATATATATATATATATATATATATATATATATATATATATATATCGGCGTCCAATTACAGGCGATTACAGGCGACGGGACCTATACAGGCCCGTCCAATTAAAGGCGAAGTAACCTATAAAACCACCGGCTGATTTAACACTATCATCCAATCCTCCAGCTGGTCATGCACAACACACCATAGAACCGTCTTCAATTGCCCATCTTGATAAATCGCAGACAACACGGCAATGCGATGCAACATCACCGGTGATGCAGGGCAGGCAGTGCTTGCAACTTTGCAGCCCGAGTGTTGTTCCAACATAAACTAATTCGTTTCCGTGGGCATTTTGATCTTACCTCCATCCGCGGTGTGGTAAATAACCATTTATGATGTTGACAGCGCGGCGGTGTCCACCGAAAAAAGGACACAACACTAGCCCCGGCCGTTCATCATTATACCCACCATCGTGGCACTTACTATGTAGAATGCAAGATCTCGGAGGGTGGAAGCTTAAGGTCGGCCCCCCCCCCCCTTCCCCTCCCACCTCCACGTCCATCCCCTGACCGGGCTGAGGTACAGCCCATTCGGTCATACGGTCACCAACCCCTCCCGTACCTGACCAGGCTGAGGTACAGCCCATTCGGTCATACGGTCACCACCCCCTTCCGTACCTGACAGGCTGAGGTACAGCCCAGTCGGTCACACAGTCACCACCCCTCGCCGTACCTGACCAGGCTGAGGTACAGCCCAGTCGGTCACACAGTCACCACCCCCTTCCGTACCTGACAGGCTGAGGTACAGCCCAGTCGGTCACACAGTCACCACCCCTCGGCGTACCTGACCAGGCTGACGTAGACCTCGTAGGGGTCGATGACGGAGATGTGGGAGGCGGCTGGCGTGTCTGGCGCCGGCAGCGGCCCGGGCGGCACCAGGCTCTGGTCCGAGATGCGCGCGCCCAGCTGGGCTAGCGCCGCCGGCTCCAGCAGGGCGGCCGTGTCGTTGGTCGCCTGCGGTGCTGACGCCGGGTCGCCTGCGGACGGATCGCACGTTAGGCTCGGAGGCCAGCGGGCTGGGCGGTCGCTACCGGGCAGCCACGCTCAGAATGGGAGGCAGGACACACACAACACCACTGCCCGCTTGATAGCGCTTTGTATTGCTACATATCTAATGAAATACCACGGACTTTGTCCAATCGATGCAGGAGCAAACGTAGACTACCTAACCAAGCTCATTAATGAGAATGGCCTCCCAACATAAGTTGATGTTGGTGATACATACCATATGGTATAATTCTGAACGTCTTGGGCGAAGCACACCAAACATGGACGGCAGTTAGATGATTAAGCAAGTGACTTAGTTCAACAGATGGTTCTAAAATCAATATAAAACTCCTGCAATCGTATACAAGCCGGCGAGACTGAACGGAGCCAGTCCCACCGACAGCGACGACAAATGGTCATTATTCAGGGGCCTCGATTTGTGTAACAGATGGCGGAACGGATAAAGGGCCCGACAGCCTGACCCGCTTCCAAAGGTGTTTGTCAACGGATTTAACTACTTTTAGGTTGACGAACGACGATTTTTATTCATATTGTACCATTTGTGAAATAGTTCTTGACTTGATACCAGTCATGGCTATCAAAAATGTCTAAAGAAGCTTTTTTCCTACATTTATGTCGGACTCCAATAAAACTACGGGCACCCAAACAAAGATTGAGAGGAGTGAGAAGCCAAAAACATTGACCCCTGCAAAGATCTCCGTCCGAACTAGCATCAACCATTACCCGTTTTTGTGGTTAGCAGCCCCGCACATGGGACGTGTCCGTTCTTCCGCGATCAACGCGTCAGCACCACCACACTAGTGTGTCAGGCGGAGCTGGCGACGCCGGTGGAGACAGGTTCCAGCCCTTCACCTCCAGTAACGGACACCGGAGCAGCCACTGACCGAGCAGGGCGAACTTCTCCATGCTGAGCCGGAGCGCCTCTGAGATACGGTGCTGGCGGAGCGCCGCCGACGGCGCGCGACTCAGGTTGGCACGCGCCGCCAGCTCCAGCGCCGCCAGCAGCGCCGGGCCCGCCGACGGCGCCGCCGTCGTCAGCACCGAGAAGTTGCCTGGGGAGGGGGGGGGGGGGTGTGAGGCCAGCAGCAGCAGCGCCGCCCACCGCACGGCCCCACCGACTGCCGACTGGGTGAGTGTAAGGCAACAGATGACGTCACAGTCCCACTGTCTGCCTGGTGAGCGTGGCCGCACCGCGACAGGCTGCCTTCCCCGGGGCGTATCAGCCACACAGACACACGCACGACAGGCACGCACGACAGGCTGGGCATCGATGAGGCAGCAAAAGCGCGATCTTACACCACACACCGCCGGAGAGTGGCGACGGCTCTGCGGTCCGGCCAGCTGCGATGACGAGCACTAACAGTGGCCTCAGTCCAGGGGCAGGCCCTGTACTGGGGCGGCCGGGCCACGACACCCCCCAACTGACCGTAGTCCCTGAGCAGGCCCTCGTACTGAAGCGGCTGGTAGTCGGCCAGGTCGGCGGCGGTCAGCTCTCCGCCGGCCGCCGTCAGCTCAGCCAGCGTCGCATTCGTCAGCGGGCCGTCGTACAGCGCTGCGGTCGGCAGAACAGAGTCGGCTCGGGCGGGAGAACAGACGGCGTCGTTCCTCGGACGAGGGTGGGAGAGGCTGAGCACAGATGAATCAGACGGCACCTGATGGCCGGCGGCGGGCCCAGACAGAGACAGTGTGTGCAAGGCCGCGGGCGTTATTTTCCATGTCCTGACTGTTTAATGTCGGGGCGATGGGTACAATTGACCCCAGTCTAGCGTTCGATCTCAGCTTTCCTAACCCCGTGTGCTCTGTGCCTCACCCTCGCAGTGTGTGGTCGAAATCTATTCATCCCCACACGTGGCATCCACCTTCGTATCACCGCCGTGGTCTTACCAAATGCCGGGGAGCGCGAGAGCTGCGGATTTCACCGGGACGGAGAGCTGCGTCTCCCGGCGCCACGCGTGGTGCCAGCTTCGCCCCATATGCTCAGTCTTCCCATCCGCGATGCGCTCGCCCCCCCCCCCCCCCTTCCCTCTCCACGTCAACCCCAACCAGCTGCGCAGTCCCCATCTGGCCAGGTGTGCAGACGTAGCCTCGCCAGCCCCTCTGTGCAGTACGACGCCGGCCCCCTTGTGCAGTACGACGCCAGTCCCTCCTGTGCAGCACGTCGCCGGCCCCTTTGTGCAGTACGTCGCCAGCCCCTCTGTGCAGTACGCGCCGGCCCCTCTGTGCAGTGCCTCGCCAGTCCCTCTGTGCAGTACGTCGCCAGTCCCTCTGTGCAGTACGTCGTCAGCCCCTCTGTGCAGTGCCTAGCCAGTCCCTCTGTGCAGAACGTCGCCAGTCACTCTGTGCAGTACGTCGCCAGCCCCTCTGTGCAGTACGTCGTCAGTCCCCTCTGTGCAGTACGTCGCCAGTCCCTCTGTGCGGTACGTCGCCAGTCCCTCTGTGCAGTACGTTGTCAGCCTCCCTGTGCAGTACGTCGTCCAGTCCCTCTGTGCAGTACGTCGCCAGCCCCTCTGTGCAGTACGTCGTCAGTCCCTCTGTGCAGTACGTCCGCCAGTCCCTCTGTGCAGTACGTCGCCAGTCCCTTTGTGCAGTACGTCGCCAGCCCTTCTGTGCAGTACCTCGCCAGCCCTTCTGTGCGGTACGTCGCCAGCCCCTCTGTGCAGTACGTCGCCAGTCCCTCTGTGCAGTACGTCGTCAGCCCCTATGTGCAGTACGTCGCCAGTCCCTCTGTGCAGTACGTCGTCAGCCCCTCTGTGCAGTACGTCACCAGTCCCTCTGTGCAGTACGTCGTCAGCCCCTCTGTGCAGTACGTCGTCAGTCCCTCTGTGCAGTACGTCGTCAGCCCCTCTGTGCAGTACGTCACCAGTCCCTCTGTGCAGTACGTCGTCAGCCCCTCTGTGCAGTACGTCGCCAGTCCCTCTGTGCAGTACGTCGTCAGCCCCCCTGTGCAGTACGTCACCAGTCCCTCTGTGCAGTACGTCGTCAGCCCCTCTGTGCAGTACGTCGCCAGTCCCTCTGTGCAGTACGTCGTCAGTCCCTCTGTGCGGTACGTCGTCAGCCCCTCTGTGCAGTACGTCGCCAGTCCCTCTGTGCAGTACGTCGCCAGCCCCTCTGTGCAGTACCTCGCCAGCCCCTCTGTGCAGTACCTCGCCAGTCCCTCTGCGCAGCACGTTGCCAGCCCTTCTGTGCAGTACGTCGTCAGCCCCTCTGTGCAGTACGCCGTCAGCCCCTCTGCGCAGTACGTCGCCAGCCCCTCTGTGCAGTACGTCGCCAGTCCCTCTGTGCAGTACGTCGTCAGTCCCTCTGCGCAGTACGTCGTCAGTCCCTCTGTGCAGTACTAACCGTCAGCGCCGTGCACCTCCACCTGGTCCAGCGTGTCGGCCAGGTCGGGCAGCGGGAGCCGGTCGCCGGCCCGCAGCAGCCGATCATCGCTGACGAACACAGACATCCCAGCTGACGCCTGCGCCTCGCCCAGACTCAGGTGGTCCGCCAGCGCCGCCGCCAGCTGCTCGCTCACCGCGATCCCCTTCCTGCCGACCAGAGACGACACATCAGAAGGGAGGCTGGCCGCAGCTAGTGCCTGGCAGGCTTCGAACGACGTTAGCAGCCGGGCGAAATGATAAAGACATTGAACACAAACATTACACACCTATATGCAAATATGTATATTTATTCGAGGTACCACCAAAACGCTCCAGGAATTTGCGTTTTGCAGGAAAACAACTGACCCCAGCCCGCAGTCGCCACAGACTCTTTTTACGTAGTCCTCTTGAGCATGTATGCTGTGGTCCAGCTTTTTTCCACGATTTCATACATCTCTGGAAGTCAGTGTGGCTGTGTTGAGCACCTCCCGCCCCTCCTTCTGAGTCTCATGAATTGCGTCGAAATGACGCCCATTTAGCCGCAACTTGGTCCTGGAGAATAGGAAAAGATTGGACGGGGCACGGTGAGGCGAATGGGAATGGTGGGAAATAGCCTCTGCGTTTTTGGGAGGCTGCAGCTGCTGTACATGTGATGTGTGGGCGGATGCGTTGTCCTGATGTAGCGATCGGTCGTTGTTTTCTGATTTTTCTGGACGTTTGCGGCAGATGCTCTCCATCATAGGACTGCAAATGGCGAAACAGTACAACTTTTGGTTGACAGGCTGGCCAGGGGAAAATTTTTGGGGGGGCAATGCCTTAGATGTCATAGAAGGGATCAGCGCGGACTTGAGATTGCTACAAACTTGAGGCAATGTTTCGTCCTTGGTGAATTAGGAGATTTCCACTGCAACCACTGGTGTTTTGTGTTGTGTCACAGAGTCAACCACATGCCCACAATTAATAATGAGTCATAGTGAACCCTGGAGATAAAGCCGATGGTTTATATTTGGTTGGTTTGGTATGGTTTGGTTTGGTATCATGGTTCTATATTTGAGCCCCTGCAAACTCGGCGTGATGTGCTTGCTGGTGGTTACTGAGCACGCTCCAGTGTACATTTGTTCGCTCCGCATGAAGCGCTATTGCATAATATGCCAATAATATTACAACTCCCGGATTTTTTGGGGAGGGTATACATAGTTCCGGCATGGGGACGAAGCCAGCTTCAGCTTCGGCTTTCTTTCTTTCTGAAGCGGGGGCTTTTTTAAGCCGTCGGCCTCGGCTGTGGCCTGGGTCACTTTTAACGGGTGACTCCGGCTTAAACTCCATGCGGTCTTAAATTGCAAGCTCTGGCTTTGCCATGGTTATTTTTCATCGCAGTTGTAACTTCCCTTTATAACAACAGTCCTTGACCGTCCGCTCCGCCACGTACCTCACAACTTTTCGTGGTTGCGACGCAAATACGAGACGATCTTCTACAAAGCATTCCATCCAAAATGTTTAAGCTTGTCTTAATCACAGACCGCAAAACGCGATATTTCTGATCAAATACAGTTCGAAAAACCGGAAGATACACCACTAAAAAACAAAGACAAAACTGCATGGCAGCTTCTTTCATTAGAAACCTTTTGACCTAAACTGTTTTGCTTCGTTCATATCGTTGATGCTTTTGAAATTTTGAGGCGCTGATATGCAAAATTTTGAAGTTCTGCGTTCGTTCCATTTTCACTGTAACAGCCACAGCTAATATTGGTGAACTGCATTGGTTAGCGTCACCAAAACAGAGTCCACCTGGCAAGTAGGCAAGTAACAGTTCAAAAACAAAGCCCTCAATAAGTTCTTCCCGGCATGGCCAGTACCGCCCAGAGCAGGCGGGGGAGCCGCTATAAACCAGCCCGACACACTGCTCAGCTTGGCCTGGTGAAGCCAGGGTGGCCTGCACTGACTAGACAGAGACTGACCTGGCCAGCAGGGCGCTGGGTCGGACCAGCTCGGCCCAGGGCAGCCGCCCGTGCAGCTGGTGCGCCAGCTCGAGGCCGCGCAGCAGGCCGGGCACGCCGGCCGAGCGCGCTCCTGTGCGGCTCACGTTGGCCGCCTGGTCGGTGGCCGCCGGCGCCACCTCGCGGAAGTCCACCACCGACGAGCGGTTCTGCGCGTGGTCATGGATCAGCATGAAGCCGCCGCTGCCGGAAGGACCGAGGTCGGTCACTGGGACGCCGTGGTGGCACAGGCGGGGCGGGCTCAGAGGCAGCAGCTGAGTATATGGCAGGCGCTGGGCTAGAGGCAGGCGCACCACAACTTGGTCATGAATGGCATGCAGGAACTGTATATGATCTAAACATTAGCTTAAATGTGACACACTATAACTGAGAGTAACAACCCGTCCTTAAAATACCTCAGCAACAGTCAACAGCGAGCACAGACTGTGCAGCTCAGAACGGCGCGCCTGGCTGCGCTCGGAGCTGCGGCGCGGCCGGCGGTCTGAGCGGCACGCACCCGCCCAGGCCGCTGGCGTGCGGGTGAACGACGGCCATGCAGAGGGCGGCGGCGACGGCGGCATCGACAGCCGAGCCGCCCCGCCGCAACAGCTCGGCGCTCAGGCTGGAGCAGGTCTTGTGGTCGGTGGAGACGGCCGCGTGCGGCACCACCTGCCGCACAGCAGCCGACCGCGTCAGACCGGCCGTCACGGCACCGGCTCCTGACAGCCCTCACCCAGAATCTGCTCCAACCACAGCATGTAATGCAAGAAAAACATGAAGAGAGTGTGGCAATGTACATAGGGTTGATAGGTGTTCTTAATGTGAAAGTTTTGCTTGAAATATTACGCAAAATTTAAGCTGCACTGGAGAAAAATGGTGCGAAAAGTGAATGCTAGTGATGAAACAATCAAGTAGATACTTACCTCAGGTTCTCCATAATAAATTTGCACTATCAGAGCAACTGTAATTGCAATGCTAAAGACAACAAAACAAACAAAAATTACTTTGAATCCATCATTTTCACTATGCTTGTTCCTGAGTCCAGAAGTTAAAGGGAATCTTTCTGAGTTTAGTGACATTGAAAAGCTGGGTGTGAACTTCTTTTCCAGGATCTGAAAACCAAGGACAATTTTTTAAAGAATTACTTTAGACTTACTATATGTCACTGAGGAGTCCATCTGTCACTGAGAAGGTCCATTGGCAAGCAGTTGTCCAGGCCTGTATACTTGGCCATTGCTGCTGCTTCATTGGTTACTGCCCTGTCATGTGTCAAATGCTTGTACAAATGGCTCCAATGATTTTAGTTTTTCAGAACTAAAAAACAGCTTTGCAATGTTACAGCCACTGGTTTAGATTGAAATTGCTTCATCTTCCATTACATTGCAGATGAGCAGCACCTAGGAGATGGAGCTGTGTTCTATGTCCAGTGACAGCCAGGTCACAACTACATGTTGGTATTTATTTGTATTTAAATGCAGTATCAAAGGCAATCTGTATTTAAATGCAATCAAAACCAATCTTTATTTAAATGCAACCAAAGGCAGTCTATATGTATCTGCAATTAAATTCAGTAGCAAAGGCAACTTAACTAAATCTAAGCCAGTGAATTCATAGACCACTCAATGGATTACTTTACTCACAGAAAATTACAGCAATTAATAGCATTACTTACTCCAGTCATAGTGACACAGTCAATGCTAACCACTGGATTTCAATGTTTAAGTCTATATGTTGCTGTAGTTCATATGAAGTAGGCAACTAATTGGGAGAAAATGACATGTCTGAGGTTAACTATATCCTGGGTATACTCTGCTTGCATGCTACATACTGATATCAAATGATGTTTGATGCTAATGTCAGCATCAAACATCCATACACATAGCAGTAAAATTGTAAAAATGGCCTGCCTGAGTTGAACACTTAGGTTCTGGGTGCAGGCTGGGTTACTTAGCAGATGCCAACCTGAGTGGATCAGCTTTGCTAGACTGGATGAGCATGATACCATATTTGAAGTACCTGACTCAAAACCATGTCAAGGTCCCTGCCATGGTTTGCAGATTGGGTTCACCATACTGTTATAAGTCACATTATTTGCAACGAAATTACTGTGCACAAGCTGTAAAAACATGCGAGAAAAAGACATACATCAGTTGTTGCACAAACTTGCAGTTATGTGATTTCCAGAGAGCAAAGCAACCATCAATGGCATGAGTTTTACACAAATACTATCATATAACCATAATCACCTTAATTTTGGACACAAGCTGTTTCCAGCAAAATTACTACACATACGCATTTATTCATATCCCTGGAATAAATTAACAACACACAGGGCCTCAGGGGCAGTTTCCCATTCCATTCAGTTCATCACACCTGAGTTTAAGAAAGTGGGCCAAATTCAGAGAAAACTGCACATTGACATATTTTGCATTTTCTCAATTGTTTATCGTAGTCCCCTCCACCTGACTCATTTTGCCAAATTACGTCCCTGGCTCTTACATTGCATTATTTTCAAAGCAATCACGGCTTATCCATGCCATCCCTATCCATAACGCAACCACGAAAATCCATTACAACACACTAAGCAAGATCGAAGCACAATACCCTACATTTACGAATGATTTGCCTCCGAACTGTCCTCGCAGCAGTCCCCTCCAATTTCCGTTCCCCAGCACCTGTCACAGATGTGTTTGAAGCGGCGCTGTTTGTTTATCGTACTTGGCTACTTGGTAGCCTCAGCTGGCTTGGACCCTGCCCCTCCCCTTTCCATCTCGATGCCCTAAGAAAAGGTGTGCTGTAGCTAACCAAAATTAGACACCTTTGATTGAACATTTTTATTAGTGTTGTAGTTATTTTAGTTGAAAAAGTTTGATATACAACGAATATGTCAAGTCCATAAGACATTGCAATATATTGACACCAGTCGCACCGCCCTCTGTACATAAGTTTCCTTTAGAATCAGACGGTTAGTTTTGCACGAAAACGACGCTCCCGTGTCGAGAGCGTACGAAAAATCCAAAAATTATTTGTTTAGTGGCAAGAGAGAGGTGGATTGTGGAAGGCGGGGCTGAGCTGGATTAATATTTCATCCGAACCCTTTGCCGTTATTTTAGTGTTGCAGTGTGATGAAGTTAGCACATTTAACTTGGCTCTTCTACCTTTTAGTCCCGGTCTGTGACACCACAGGAATTGAGCCAGCTCTCCGGCGTTCACGACATTGAAGGGGATCAGGTGGGTGTTTAGGCGAGTAACTTGAAACTTGAATCCAGGTCCTCGGGATGTGCATATGGAAAATCATAAGTTTGTGGAATGTGTAGTATGTTCCTTGGGTTTGCTGTTCATTTTCATAATTGAATGAAATGATAAACAGATACCTAATAGGTAGCTTCTTAATTCACCCAACATGGTCACCTGGGTGCAGCAAGCCTTCCACTATGCTGGTTGTTTACATTGTGACATTGATGTGCTGGACCTTAAGCATGCATGTGTCAAACTCATCCCAGGCTAAACTAAGAAGAATCTCAGAGTTATTTTTGTTTGGAATTTGTTTTTTGCACTTAGTACTTCCCTGGAAATTACCAAAACCATACAATAATTCCCTGAGACATTGACTCTATGTGCAGGAGTTGGGATTGGCAGTTTGTCAAACTGGGCTGTTGGATTGGCAGTTAGCATAAACTGAAAATGTGATCAGTGTGAGGTGCATTTTTGCAGCCAGGCTTGGTCATGCAATAATTCTGTAAGCAGCCATGTTCCAGGAATTGTTTTTATGTTTGGCTTGCCAGGTAAGTTTTGGTATTGCCCTTCCTCAACAAAGATATGGAATGTGTTATGATCCATAAGGCTAAGCCCCATTCTTTGGGTCTCTTAACATTCCCTAAATCTAATATTTACAGTTAAATATGTAGCATGGAAATTTTCCAGATAAATCCTGTAGAAGCAAGATAGATGCACTTCTGTTCTTTATAGGCAACCCAATGTTTTATCTGCCAGTTACTGTCAATAGCTCCTGGTTTTCCTTTAGCTGATCTTGATAGGTGTATCTTATCATCCAGGCAGTTCCTGAAATCACATGATCATTATGGAGATATAGCCAAATGTTGCATAATAACTGGTCCCCTTAGCCAAAATGCTCATGCTAGAAACTCACCAATTTTGGAGGAATGTAGTCTAAATCTGTGGAAGTTACATAGAGAGGAAAAGGAAATTAGACATTTGGTTCCCTGGGGGCAATTTCAGACTTGTATCTAGGTCATTGAAATCAATAAGTGTTCATTAGAAACTTATTGTGAAAAGCTAGCTTAATGTAATTTGGCTTTAAAACTTAACTTTGAAAGAAATCTAGGAATAGAAAAAACAGAAGGGGTGATAATATTTTATCTTCTTTTATGGTCTACTGATCCAATTAAGTACTGTTCATTTACTATTTTAAGCTTGCTACTATTCAGCTAGTTGCTTTGAACTATTTGGCCATCTGTGAGGAGATTGGTGAGCTGTCAAAAAATCACATGCTTGGATTTGAGCCATGTATTGGTGTGCATAAATTAATTGTAACCATTCAGCAATGAGAACATATTCCTGCAGGCACTTAATTGTATACATATTTGCATTCACCTAAACCATTCACTACCTTGATGCAAACATGCAGATGGAAATTTTAATGCCACCAGATAACTGCAAGACTTAGCTCAAGCCAAGTCTTAATTGGTGTCATTTTCTATCACTGTTTTCTAAGATTTACTTATTTTACAGAGCAGTGAGACACTACTCAAGCAGCCTTCTGGCTAATGTAGTCTGGTCACACCCAGGGAAATTTGTTTATGTGCAGCATGCCTTGGGAAAATTGGCTGAGGTAGTGGGAAATCAACTTTGTTTTTGGGGCTTGGGCAAAAAGTTAATATCTTAATTGAGTTAAAAAATGGGAGATGTATTTTTCACTCCTCACATAATACATTTAACATTGTTCCACATCTTTTTACTTGATTGATATTTGAATATTTGAATGCTTGATGATGTGAAATGTTTGTTTTTGGTCTTTATGTATGGTAACATGTCAGATGCTCTGCTGATGATATGTTCCATACAATTTTAGAGCTGGTAAAAGATTCATAACCTTACACATTTTCTCACATAACCCCATTGAATATGTTGCTTTTCTGGTATTTAATAAGACTTTTGACAAACTCAATTATGACACACTTTCATTGAGCACCTGTACACCTGTTTGGGAAATACTTCCACTCTAACAACCTTCTATGCCAATAAAAAATTATATCATATTGTGCTGTCTTTGACAGCATTTTACCTAACACTATGGCCAGTATCAAACTATTTGGTTGTGTAATCCTTCATTAGAGAACTGCAGGTAGTCAGTAACATCCCATCTGACAAGTGGCAGCACTACCTATCACCATAGGGTACTCACTGCACCTCTTCCCCAGTTTCTTGGAGCACACCGCGACCAGTCGGCCTGCACGGTGCGCCGGCGCCCATGGACCCGCAGCCGGCCGGCAGGGGCTCCGAGGTGGCCGCCGCCGCCGCCAACCACGTCTGCTCGGAGCCGGGTCTGAGCGACGGCATGGTTGACGCGCTGGCCGTGTGCGGCGCGCCCGACTCGCTGGCCATGGTCGGCGTGCCCTTCAACGGCGAGGACGACCTCTGGGACGACGGCGCCGACATGGCCGTGTTCACGCGCGTCCCCTCCACCGACATCATCTACCGCAACAAGCGGAAGCGCTGCAAGCTGGTGGGCCGCTACATCTTCGGCGACCTGCTCGGCGAGGGCGCCTACGGCAAGGTGAAGGAGTGCATGGACAAGGACACGCTGGAGCGGAGGGCCGTCAAGATCTTCAAGCGGAGAAAACTCAGGCGGAAGCTGAATGGCGAACAGAACCTGCAAAGGTAGCGAAACGTCTGATGGTGCATTGGTGATAACAAGTTGGCTGTCTGTGTCACGATCTCATTATGAGGCAGTGGTCCGCGCTAGACGTGCCGGTGATCATTTTGTTAGCCGTCACTAACGGATGTTGTAATTGAGTGATTGAACGTGGCCGCTAAAATTTTGGGAGTAGATGTGTCAGCAGAGGCAGGTCTGGCATAGGCAGCTGGATAGAGCTGTGGGTGATGGCAGTCACAGTCCGCGGCAACATAAGCTCGTTCTCTGGTACTAGCCGTACGACCACGCACACCAAAAACAACGTAGCATTAATGCGATGGAGGGCCTCCCCTGTCTTCCGTGGATGTGGACCGGTCCGATGGCAGTGTGCTGGTGAACGACACAGCTGCGGTGCTGAGTGTGCTCTCGCTCTGATCCAGGGAGATTCGTCTGTTGAACCGGCTGCGACACCCCAACATCCTCCGGCTGTTCGACGTGCTCCACAACGACGAAAAACAGAAAATCTACATGATTCTGGAGTTCTGCGTGTGCCAGTTAAAGGAGATGCTGGATCAAGCTCACGAGAAGAGGTTTCCTGTCTGGCAGGCCCACGGGTCAGTAATCTGGTCGCATAAACTCCGAGCTGACTTCTCATCAGGCTTCAAACACAATCTTCTCATGTCTTAGGTGCTGTTGTGCATGTGCCAGTTCAAAGCGCATGCACCAGGACGAACTGCGCTGATGGTATTGTTTGCATTTCATCACAACCTGACATCTGGCAGAAAGGTCTTAGATTCACTGAACACTTGGCTTGATTTCAGGTACTTTGTGCAGCTGGTCACGGGTTTGGAATACCTGCACAGTCAGGCTGTGGTGCACAACGACATCAAGCCGGCCAACCTGCTGCTCACGGCCGACATGACACTCAAGATATCCGACCTGGGTACTGCAGAGGTGAGAGTCGGCAGCAGCCGGGCGGGCCGGTCTTGTGTGGGGTTACAGTGCCCGGCGGCCTCTGCTACTGGAGGTGAAAGTTGACAGCCGCCGGGCGGGTGGGTCCTGTCAGGGCTTATAGGCTCCGGCGGCCTCTGCTACTGGATGTGAGAGTTGACAGCCGCCGGGCGGGTCGGTCCTGTCAGGGCTTATAGGCTCCGGCGGCCTCTGCTACCGGATGTGAGAGTTGACAGCCGCCAGGCGGGTCGGTCCCGTCTGGGCTTATAGGCTCCGGCGGCCTCTGCTACTGGAGGTGAGAGTTGACAGCCGCCGGGCGGGTCGGTCCTGTCAGGGCTTATAGGCTCCGGCGGCCTCTGCTACTGGATGTGAGAGTTGACAGCCGCCGGGCGGGTCGGTCCTGTCAGGGCTTATAGGCTCCGGCGGCCTCTGCTACCGGGGGTGAGAGTTGACAGCCGCCAGACGGGTCGGTCCCGTCTGGGCTTATAGGCTCCGGCGGCCTCTGCTACTGGAGGTGAGAGTTGACAGCCGCCGGGCGGGTCGGTCCTGTCAGGGCTTATAGGCTCCGGCGGCCTCTGCTACTGGGCGCTCGGCCCGGCGGTCACCGCGAATCTGCCGGCCAGGTGAAGTTTGGTCTTTCCGTGAGGTGGAATGCGTCGTTAGATAAGTTTTGCTGCGAACTCTGACAAGTGGCAATTAAGTACCCATTTGAATGCTTGCTGGTTTATAAAATGTTCCATTCGATGGCTTTACAGTTGCATTGCACCGCTTGTGCCATACTCCTATTTTCACCTTCTTGGGGCCGCAAATGTTAGATGTAAATAATGGACAGGGTAATGTGGACTGCAGGCGCTTGCCGGGTCCCGTAGCTGTCGTGTCAGGTGAGAGTGCGTGCCGAGCGTGTGGCTGGAGCTGGCGGCTGAGCGCGCCCCTGTCGTGTGGGGCGAGAGCCTGTAGCTGTAGCTGGCGGCTGAGTGCGCCTGTGTCGCGTCGGGTGAGAGCGTGTGGCCGGAACTGGCGGCTAAGCGCGTCCCTATCGTGTCGGATGAGAGCGTGTTCCCGGAGCTGGCGGCTGAGCGCACCCCTGTCGTGTCGGGTGAGAGCCTGTAGCTGTAGCTGGCGGCTGAGCGTGCCCTTGTCGTGTCGGGTGAGAGCGTGTAGCCGGAGCTGGCGGCTGAGCGCGCCCCTGTCGTGTCGGGTGAGAGCGTGTGCCGAGCGTGTGGCCGGAGCTGGCGGCTGAGCGCGCCCCTGTCGTGTCGGGTGGGAGCGGGTGGCTTGAGCTGGCGGCTGAGCGCGTCCGGCGCCGCAGGAGCTGGACCGGTACCGGCAGAGTGACGAGATCGCCGTCAGCCAGGGCTCGCCGGCCTTCCAGCCGCCCGAAATAGCCAACGGCACCGACACCTTCCCCGGCTACAAGGTGGACATCTGGAGCAGCGGCGTCACGCTGTGAGTCTGGGGGGCGCGGTCAGCTGCCGCCAGTCTGGTGCGCCTCGCCTCACGCCGCACTGTCGTCGCGCACTGTCAAACTGGTTCAGCGCTTGAAGTGGTGCTATTCTCGAGTGACGTTCGCTCGCAGGCTCGTGTTTTATCACTTTTATCCCATAGCCTTTCGAGCGAAAACAAAAGGTCACGCGGCCCGTGTTCGACGCTTTCATCGGCTGCTGTCACTGTCCGTGACGTCTGAGGTCGGTCTCGCTCGGCGTGCCGATCTCCACGGTGACCTTCCGACGCGCTCACGCCACCTCCGCCCTGTCCAGGTACAACTTCGTGACGGGCCAGTACCCGTTCGAAGGCGAGACGGTGTTCAAGCTGTACGATAACATCGGCCGCGGCGAGTTCGACATCCCGGAGCCGGTGGGGCCGTCTCTGGCGTCGCTGCTGCGCGGCATGCTGCACAAGGAGCCCGAGCAGCGGCTCGGCGTCGCCCAGATCCAGCAGCACGAGTCAGTGGCTGGCGCGGCCCGGGAGCGGGCTGGTGGCGACGGGGTAGCGGTGTGGACCGGACGCGGACTTTCGCACCGGGTGCGGGTGCTGTGCGCGGGTGTTGTCGCTGCCCGCCATTTCAGCACGTCCGCGCTGTCTGTTTCCCTGTCAGTCTGCGCGGCGGGCGTGCGGCGAGCGTGCCGTGCAGATGTGTCAGACACGTCGGTCATCCCGGGAGGCAGTGCTCAAAAGGTCGACTGTCGGCCTCGGTTGCCTCGGCGCGGCCTGGCGGCTGACTTGCTGGCAATCGCTCTTGTATCGGTGGATGCGCCGGCCGCGGACGTGCGGCCACGCCGCGGGTGTTTACGCGCGGCCCGTGACTTTGTACGTCCTCCGGTCAAACCGGACGGTGCATCGGCCGACCGCTGACGTGTTTTTGTGCCGTCCACGCCGCGTGTGGCGGCGCACGGCCGGCGGCGTGTGTGGCCGGCCGCCAGGGCGCCGCTGACGAATGGTCCGTGCGTCCGCTCGCCCCGGGGTAACGGCCGCTGCGCCCGTTCCAGCTGGTACCGGAAGAAGCAGCCGCCGACGTCCGAGCCGGTGCCGGTGCCGCCGCGGAACGGCAGCGAGTGTCACGCACTCACGGTGCTGCCCTATATCCGCGACCTGCACTACGGCGCCGACGAGGATAACACCAGCAGCGAGGAGTATATCACAGAACGGCAGCTCAACGGTCAGTGCGGGCGGCGTGCGGAGTGCCCCCGGGTCGGACTAGCGGTGGGGGTGGCGCCCCTGGTCTGAGCGTCTGAGCGCCGAGGGATGGCCCGGCGGCGGGCCGGCTCAGCAGCCACCAGCGTCTCATCCAGCTCTTCCCGAGGTGAAACTGTAAAATAGTGGCACTTTGGCATGTGGACAGTCAAATTTGTCCTGATTCATTGTTTCGGGTATGTGATGCCTGTACTTTTTATTTGCATCATATTTTGTTAACCAAAAAGCTAGTTTACATTGATTGAATTTCAATTAATTAAATGCAATTATTTTGCATTGGAACGGTATACTTGGCATCTGCCGCGTTTGAATGCGCCTCAGTAGGAAATGTTGGGGATTTAGTGCACACTCCCAAGCCGGGGTTTAGCTGTGCACCCCAACTGGTCGCTGGCAATGTACTATTGCGAGCGCTGTGTCGCGTCGTAACAGTTAGTCTGGTGAGCGCTTTGCGACACTGTACGGAGCGCCGACTGGAGCGCGGTGTCAGCTGCTGTCGCTGCCAGGTGACCCGGGGGTTGTGGTTCGCGGCATCGGCGGATGTTAGTTTGACGGCCGGTGAGTTTATCCCCGAACTGCGGCCCGATGGCGTGGTTCCGGGCGGCGGGCAGCTGCGCAGTCCTGGTGGCCAGCCTGCCAGCCCGTCAACCGGGCGCAGTTGCCGTACGGGGGTCTCATAGAGCAGCCCGTGCGTAACACGTGCGGTGGTTAAAACGTGGCTGATCTGAAAGTCGCGTCGGAGAACGATGCATAAGTCTCGTCTAAGAACGCCATAGGGTTCGCGTCTGAGAACGACGCAGAGTCCGCGCCTAAGAACGACGCAGAATTCGCGTCTGAGGACGACGCATGGCGCACGTAGGAATGCCTGGCGGTTGCACAGCCGTCTGTGTGTGTTATCTCGCAATACGCGCACGTTGCCGCGTCTCAGCCGTCACGCAGGTGGTCGCTCGAGCTTCCTTCCTGGTAGCGCGGAGAGGGAAGGGAGCTCCGCCCTCTGCCCCTTCAGCTTTTGTTTTGTTGCGGAAGACATTGCGCTATTTGTTATATAATCTGTTTATATAATTAATACTCATCCATTCATATAATTCTCACTTGCGCTTGGCTCCATTTTTCTTATCCGAATAACAACATTTGGTATGCGTTATACCTGCCTGATGACTTGTCGCGCTGATATCGTCAACGAACCATCACCCGCAGAATTCGGGTTATTGTGCGTTTTTGCCCGTCGCCGGGATCGACAATGCCTGCGCACCCGACCGCACGGCGACTCCCGGGGGCGTGTTTCGTAAAATGTTTACCAGCGTAAGCCCGTCGCGTACTCCATCGCATTGCGGAAAGCTGGCGCTGTAAGACACGCTGTTGGGGTCTTGTTGTTTACTGGCGTTTTAGGGGGCGTCTTCTCCAGTGGTTATTTTGCACCAATAACGATGTTTTTACTTGACAAACACGTCGCAAATCGTCAGGGACCAAGCCTGCGGTCCAAAGTGACGTCGTCGCTCTTACACGATAAAAGTTCTTACGCATCATTGGTGATAATAAGTGTGTTATATGTTAATAATACAAACAATATGTTATATCCTGGTAGGCGTGGCCATGTCGAATAATGCGGTTGTTTGCCTCCACGATGAGCATGTTTTTACCCGCCGCACATTATGCCTCTGGCCGGAATGCTAAAAAAACAGGCTAATCCCCGCGATCTCTTGTTCATCTTTACGCAGAATTGCGTATCGTTTAGCTTGCTATGACCAGCCAAATAGTTAAAGTAATGATAAGATCGTGACTTCGCGCCTGGCGACCGGGTCAGGTTGGTTAACGCCACAAAAAGTTTCATAGGTCGGTCAGTACAAAATAAGTATATATATATATATATATATATATATATATATATATATATATATATATATATATATATATATATATATATATATATATATATATATATATATATATATTTGGGAGTACGTAGCACTCCTCACTTTCACATGGTGAGCGCAATACCGAGAGAGTTCCGGGAACCCGTAATCCTGGTCCCAACTAATGGAAAGGTCAGATGTGTGTTTGTCATGACTGCCGTAATTTAATAACACGAATGTTGAATCTGTCGAATCCGCATGCACGGAAAGCGTAGGCTTGACCTGCGTACGTAGGCTTGACCTGCGTACGACCCGCCCGCCTGGCCTCTGTCCATCGTGCGGCAACTCAACTGACCTTTTCAAGCCGCCCTGCGGACTGTGTGAGCGACGTCACATTGGTGCGCCGCCCTCGGCGTGTCGGGCGTCAGGCCAGGGGTGGTGGTAACGGCAGCGGCTGGTGTGCGTGCCGTGGGGCGTCGTCAGATGACCGTGCACGATGGCTCGTGAGGACACCGTGAGCTAACCGCGCGGGATGGCTCGTGAGAGCACCGTGAGCTAACCGCGCGGGATGGCTCGTGAGAGCACCGTGAGCTAACCGTGCGCAATGACTCGTGAGGGCGCCGTAAGCTAACCGCGCGAGATGGCTTGTGAGGAGACCGTGAGCTAACCGCGCGGGGATGGCTCGTGAGAGCGCCGTGAGCCAAACGTGCGCGATGGCTCGTGGGAGCACCGTGAGCTAACCGTGGACGATTGCTCGTGTGCCGTTGTCGCCTGACCTTACGTCGCACATGACCGTGTTCCGCTCCGTCCGCCCACATCTGTTCATCGATGCTGGAATGAAGACGGGCGAGGTGACGTTTGTCGTTGTGAAATGAGTGGATTTCCACAGAACTGCTTCCTCTTAACCCGCACTGACATAAGCAATATGTTTCGTGTTGATTTTAAATCAAGGGGAAAAACGTGGATCAGCGTCAGTCGGCGCAGACATCGCCCAACCCGAAAACAAACCGTGACCGTGTTGACTGTTTGTTCTGTCCGACAGAGCGCGAGGCGGCGCGAGCGGGCGGCGGCGAGGCGCCGTCGGAGAACGGCTCCTCGGTGCGCCGGCGGACCCGCAAGCCGCGCGCCTGCCTCAACGTCAAATCCTGGTCCAGCTGTAAGCAGGCGTGACTGCCGCGTGACGTCACTCACGCCCGCCGCCGGCCGCGAGCGGCCTCGGGCTGACGTCACGGCGGGTATGACGTCACCGCCGGCCGGCCGCGGCGTGGTCGCACCACCACGGCGGCCGCGCCCGGCCGGCCGGTGCTGTGGACACGTCGGCGCGGGCTGCCCGGGCGTGACGGACCGGACGGAGGCGGGCACCGCCGCGGCCGTGCACCGCCCCCCGCTCACGGGTTTTACGGGGAGACGCCGGCGCGACGGACGGCGCGTGGCACCGCGGCGCGAATAATACGACTAGTCGGGCGCGGGCTGTCGCCGTGTCGCGGTTTGCCAGCGGCGCGCCGCCGGCTATTTTTAGAGATGCACGTCTCGGCGCTGCGGGCCGAGGTTACAGGGGCTGTGCGCCGGAGCAGCGCGGGTCAGGTGTGGCAGGGCCGGCCAGCCGGCGGACTGGTGGCGCCGCGCTGGGTCGGCTGCCGCAGCGAAGGCGTTAGACGGGCCCGGCTGCGGCCGTCCCGCCGCGCGTTATCAGTTATTCGGATATGTCGGTCGTTGTTACAAGTGCAATTTCATGATGTGCTGAAGTGGGACGGCGCGTTGTCATCCTCTCGCTTTTCCGTTAGTCAACACCGTCTGTGATTGGTCGCTGTTGTTTGCGTTGCCGCTCACCTGATGTGACGCGGCATTCCATTTGCAATCTCGCTTAATATTGTGTACAAATGGCTTGTGTTGGACGCTCGGTGCCAAACTTGGTTGCATGAGTACGTTATCGAAAGTCTTCAAGGTTTGTGGCGCTTTCCCCCAGCTGCCGGCGGCCGCTTGGGCAATGCGAATGCGACAGACTGTGTGTGCGGCCGGCTGGCGGTGAGGCCAGTTTCGCCAACAGACTAGTCCATTTTGAATATACCGTGATGACTGCCCCGGATCGTTTCTGCACGCTCACGATAGCCGTCGGGAGTCTGCTGAAATCGGTCAGCAACCATCCGGGGCGACCGACGGTGTTCGCCTCCTCCGGTCACATTCGATACGTGTTGGGGAAGGGGGTACGGGTTTGTGTGGTGAGGGCCAACGACTGGCGCAGCTGGTCACCTGCGCTGTGACCCTACGGGTGCATGGGTTCCGGCTGTGTGCTTTGTACTGTGCGTACACGAAGTGACAACTGAACCACCACTCGCGGACGTCGCGCGATGACATTCGCACGAGATTCTCTAGCTCCGTGTCACTGGCCGTCACACTGGCGTGGCGTCAAGGAACACTATCGGCGGCTGGGATACTGCGTGTGCTCCAAGTGTTTTGGAGCGTCATCGCCCATGCGATCGGAGCCACGTGTCGGCTGGTGGCACGAGTGACCGAATGGTCTGATGGTCTGACGCGCCTTCGAGCAGGCAGCTGTGTCGGGGTCACGAACGCGCGTGCTCGCACCCGTTGGCTCTCTCTCTCTCGGTGAACAAGGCTCACCAGGAGGCCTCAGACAATGTTTTGGACTTAAAAATAAGTCCGGGTCGCAATTTTGTACATCTAAACTCACGGAGCTCAAGGTATCGGCATGTAAAAAAATGAGATGAAAAGCTCAGTGGGCAGTCTTGCCCTTTTGGCCCGCGGATTGCAAACGTTTTGGAACACACAACCGCCAGTTCGGACGTGTTTGTACCACGTGGATCAGCAGTGGCGCATACAGGAGCAGTGTATCGGCAGTGGCGGATCTGGAGTTTGGTGAAGGGGAAGGGGCACGCTACATTCCCCCCCTCCCCCTGGATTGTGGATGCCTCTTAAAAAAATCATATTCCGGCCATTGAATTTTAAGATTCTTGTGTACGCTCTTTTTTGCGGGAAATCATCTTCCTGTGCGCAGCCCGAGAAGACCGGGCGTGATACGCGTGTACCATGAGTGTCGATTTCTCGAAATGATTTGGCGGCCAAAGTCACGGCAGTCGCCATGAGAGGTAGGGGACGAAAAAATTCGCGGATTTTGTTCACTTATGGTCTGCTTAGTCGTTATGAATGTACGGACTTCCAAGTTCTTTTTGCGCCAATGTGCGTAGCCACAGCATAAAGTATGGAAATCTGGCAGTTTACATCAACTTCAAATAAACGCACGTGTTTCGTGCGGCTGAAGTGGTGCAGCTGCATCCTCCAATTGCATGTGAAGGAAATCTGGGTGTATTTATCATCGAATGCTTTGGAAATATTTTGCGCATTTATTCATGTATTCACAATAGAAGTGTTTACAATATGTGTGGCTATCACAATCCGCTTTTCACTCAGGTCCTTCAGTTCTCGACACGCCTAAACTACATGCATAGTTAGAACATTCCACGCATATCAGTTAATCTAGAACAAACCATTGCACTCCTCCACCAGCCAGTTCAGAGTTCAGCCATCAAGTGTCTGAGCCCCACTGACGGATCTGGCACCAGGTGGCAGGTACAGTGAACACACCGTGATGTCGCGACTGTTGAAACAAACACGTGCTGCGTCAGCTTGTAGTGACGATTTCAAGTCCAGCCTCTGGGCTGGTACGCTGCGATGAGCCGCTAGGAGGGCACCGCCGTGCGCAGCGGTGTCAGCGGACACGTCCCTGCGGAAAATTGCGCAACCTTTTAATGCGAAATAAAAGTTCGGCTTCACCTTTGCTTATTGCAGACCTTTATATCAGCCTGGAGGTCGACTGCATTAACCGGTACTCCTCTGCAGCTTCACTGTAAAAACGTATGTGAAAGGACGTGTTGAGGGGAACGAAAAACGTCGTCGAGAAAAAGGCGAAATTTAAAAGAATTGCGTTGCTGCAGACGAGACACCAGACACCTCAAACCTGGAACAATGTTCCACAGACCCGTGCTCCAGCCTGGGTCGGGACCTTGGGCTGTCCGTCACTTGCAGACAGCGGTCCGGACGGGACACGCTTGGCGCCAGCATGCCCCGTGCGGGGTGGTGGCGGGGAGGACCCATTGCTGAGCCCCTGCCCGCCACCTGGTGACGAGGTAGGACCTCAATCAGTCTTCGTGGTGAGGGAGTGTTATTCCGAGGGGCGGGCTTCTTACCCATCCCTGCCAGCATAATGGCCGCTTTTGCCCGCTTCTGCTCAGCCAGGCGTGCCCGTGAGGCAAATCGGGCACGCCTGTCTGTCTCATGGCGCTCCAGGGTCTCACGCGCTCGTCCACAAGTGCTCGCAACGAGTGTCACGGGATACAACGACAGCGGGGTGCCAGACGGTGGGGCCGGCTAAGCCCGCTGACCTCGGCCGCGCTGAACCACCGCCCAACCCTCCCCTCCGTCGGCGCATCCGACGATGCCGCGGAGGTCGGCAGCACGGTGTGCACCGGGCGCCCCGGCACCGGCACCGCCACCACCGCGGCCGCAGCGGGGCCGGCCGCAGATTGGGACGGCGACTCTACCTGTCGTGTCGCAGTGTCCAGAGGAACAGTCGGGAGCGGGACAGAAATCCATGGCGCCACAGACCGACCGAACGTCTTCGAGGAGCTAAATAAGCTGTGACAGTCATCTGGTCCGCCCGACTGCTCTGTGGGACTTGTACAGTGGTCATGGAGGCATGGCCGACCTTCGGATGACTCACCTCGTTTAAATTATTTTCCCGAAACAATATTTATTTAGTGCATTTCAGTGTGATTATCTCGTTCTCTTTGGCATTAGCTGGACCAGGGGCGGATCCAGGATTTCATCAAGGGGGGGGGGGGGCACGCAATATTGTGGGGCCCCTGGAGTTTGGGGCCCTCTCCAAAAAATATCCTTGCATTTCAGGTCATTGCCCCTTTAAGGAGTCATATGTAGCATTATATATATATATATATATATATATATATATATATATATATATATATATATATATGTGTGTGTGTGTGTGTGTGTGTGTATGTATATGCACATATATACATATGTTGCATATAGGTATAAATAGGTATATATGTATATAGGCACACATATGTATGCATTTACCTATTCATTCATTTAATAAATACGGAAACCCACCTTACTGTACACAGCCCTATAAAGCTAGGCGTGCTACGCATGCACACATATAAAGCTCACTCATTTTCTACATATCATTTTGAGCGCTGTGGTTTTGAGGCGACGTGTTTTGGAACAAAAGGCAAAGTAAACTTGAGTAAGGTGCTAACAACCATCAAAACTAAGCATGGACTTGATTCCTAGATTATGTTTGTACGGCTAGCCGGCTAGGCGATGTACTCAGCTAATATTTTATGACTGGTGCAAAATTTGCCTTTGTTATAAAGGAGTGCAACATATTCTAGCATTCAGAACATGTTAAGAACGTAATGCACCAGCATGATAAGTGTCACACACTCAATAGGCAATGGAGATAACACATACGACGTCCGCGGCATATAAAATTACGTTCGGCAATTACGGGTAAAAAATCATCGGCGCATGTTTGACTGCTGCTCTAAGGCGAAGGCACCGAGACCAATAGGGACGGAACCTGAGTGATCATGGGTGCCGCGGAGGCCAACAAAGTGCTTCCCGTCAACAAGTATGGGGTCCTCAGAGCAAGCAAAACGAATCCTAGACCGCCGATGTGGGCCTCAAATGATCGGTAGTGCCTCGGCAGGCTGATATATAAAACCCCGGCCAGAGCACGGGGCCCCCCGAGCAGAGGGGAATTATCCAGTACCATGAATTAATACCCCTGTGCGATCAAGAATCTGCGGGCAGGTTCACAACACGAGCCTCGATAGGAGTGAAGAATCCTCCGCAAATGAGACCGAAGGGAGAGAGCCCTCGATCAAAGTAGAGGGCCCCAGAGCATCGAGTGTCTTCGTGCCTTGCCTCTAAGAGCCCTAGCAACAGCACAAGGTCTTCCAAGCGATTGGAAAGAACTCGATACTTATATGAAGGGCCCCTGAGCAAATGAGTGTACCCTGGCGTATTGGGCCCCGGAAAAAGCGCATGGAGCCTTTCGGGCGAATGGGAAGAATCCGTGGAGGAAAACCTGATCGAGCAATGATGCTCAGGCGTGGAGATAGATAGCGTCCCAACAACACATTGGACCCTACGAGAAAATGCAAAGAGATCAAGGGCAACATAGAAAGCTCCTTAGCGATCAGATTGACCCAGCAAGTGGACGTGGACAGATGATACAGATGGACAGATAACAGATGGAGGCCCGGCAAGAGCGTAGGGTCTTACGTTAAAATATGAAATACCCACGACACGATGCAGAGGGCCCGAATAATCGGGTGCGCTAGAACAGGTTAGGGAATATAGGACCCTTGAAAAGAGCGGAGGGCCCTCCATTCAAAAAGGAAATACCCCAAACCAGATGTAGATGTCCCCACAGAAGGGGCCCCACAGGAGCGTAAGGCCCTCCATTCACATCCATTTCTACTCTTAAGCGGTGAAAGGGATGAAAGGGCTTTTTCAACACTACGAAGAACCAATACCGGCGCAGCAGGAGCAGAACCTTTGCAGCCGGACTCAACGACAGTCCTTCCCCCTTTCGAGGACCGGGCGTTGTTGATAGCTTGAGAAGTCATGCGATGTAAATTCAGCTTTCGGCATCGGGGCTCCCCACTTACCTCGGAACCCAACTGGGGGACATCCCAACCCTCTCTCGGGAGGTTGTTACCGCCAAGGCCACCCCGATGCGATACGGGGCAAACGGCGCCTCCTATACAGCCAGGTGAAGCCGGGGAGATCCCATCCGGGGTGAAACCGGGGAGATCCCATCCCCGTCCTGACTGTGGTTTCGGCCCGCCTCCCCTTGGCCTCTTGGCCGCTGCGCGCGGCCAGGCGCCCCAAGCGGAAACCCGCACGGAGCACCCAGCCGCAGCGCGAGCGACAAGCCGTTAGATGAAGCCGTGTGGTGCCCTACGGGTCCCCGCGCTCCCGGATATCCCGGCCGCGCCTGGCCAGTGGAGTGTTGGGACGCGCCGTGGCTGACCTCCCGCGAGACGCCCCTCAACCACCAGGATCTGATTAACCTGGGGACGCGGATGAGGAGGTATGGCGACCATGGTACGGGTGCCCCTGCGGGGTAGACGTAACTGGTCTCGAGGTTTCGCTGGGGCGTTTTCCTCCAAACCCAAACTCCCTTCAAAATCCGGCATGATGCGTACTCGCTGAGCTCCCCCCTCAAAAACATATGGCTGCACCCCTGCTTTGATTTGAGCCCCCCCCCCCCCCTCCCCAGTTGCTGGCACTGGCCTGTCCACTGTCCTTGGACCGTCTCCAGAGACCGCGTGGCTGGCCGGAGGTACAAAGAGTCGCACGTTGAGAAATGGCCGTAAATACCCGCGCGCTGCCAGCCGTAGCCGGGCGCGGGACCTGGGGCGGCCAGGTGTCCGTCCACAGCCGACTCGCTGAGGTCAACTCTCTGAGAGGACCCCTGCCACCGGCAGCACAGGTATGGCTCTGCTCTCCAGCGCGAGCTTTGGATAGGTGTAACACTCGTTAGCTGGTAGTAGCTTCCCGCTGACATTTGGTCTCTGTTTACTGCTCTTTCTGCTCTTCTGTACAGTACTGCGTGAAAGGTCTTTATGTTTGCTTTTTAACTGTGGAATTGCCTGAGACTTACCTGCACTTAAACTGAACAGGTACGCCACGACTGAATCTCTGAGTTCATGGTGTTAGCGTTGGGTAGCAAGATTCGTTAGATATCAATTTGTAAACGACACCTAACAAATCTTGCCAACCAACCGGTTAGACCGGGACCAGCCGGTTAGAATAAACGTAGGTCCAGGAGTGGTGGATCCAGAGGGGTGGGGCGGGGCCATGCCCCCCCCCCCCTCAGGGTCCCGAATGAGCCCATGGGGTCTGAAAGGCCTCTTAGCCTTTTTTAGGACGCAGTTTTTGAACACCAAACGCAACAAAATTGGACGCCTTTAGGCCTTCAGGCGACCAAGAACAATCGTCTGCAAAAGTGAAAGTGTCATGAGCGGACAGAATGAATTCTTCGCAGATTGAAAGTATGGTGATTGGGGATATTTTTAAGCTCATTACGCTGTCCAGAGGCCCTACGCTGTTGCCGGGGACCCCATATGCTCACTTGTGGGGTCAGTCAGATCGCTAAGTAGCCTTCCACGTTGCCCTTGACTTTTCCATTTCCTCGGGGGGGGGGGGGGGGGGGGGCTCGCACCGTTGTCAGGACCCTATCTGCTAACATGCTGGGGTATCCCTGATCGATCAGGGGACCACCGCGGATTCTTCCGCTTCGCCAAAAAAGCTCTCAGCGTTTTTGCCGGAGGCCCCATATGTTAACTTTCTGGGGTACTCTCGGTTGCTCAGGGACCCTTCACATTGGTCTCGGCTGATTCACACTTGCTCAGAGGGTCCTGCACTGTTGCTGGGCAGGGGCGGCGCGGAAGGGGAATCCTGCCATGGCTGGAATCTGAGGATTTTTGAAGGGCCCAAGACTCCAGGGGCCCGCCGCCACTGGGTGCCAGGTGGCCGGTTCAAAGCGTTCCAAGCTGCCCGGGCCGTGAAACTGGGCCGTGATCGGTGTTAATAAAAGTGCTGGCGCCAGATAGAACGCAGCGCTGCTGTGCTCTTGAGGTCAAATTATTTTTCTTGAAATGGTAGCTATTCATTTTTGGTGCATTTCTGGCGCTTTGATTTCATTTAGCTCTGATGTCGTCAGCTGAACTGACTCGTGTGCAAGAACTGTGGACAAGGTAGCGCTCTTGTGTCAGTCGGTCGCGTGTGGTTTGTGGGTTGCGGTAATAGACCGGTGCTGCGGGAATGTCCCGAGCATTGTAAATTGTTGGACAATAGCACTCCTTACATTTGAGGAATAATCTTGTGGTTGTGTTATTTAATTCTCGAGGCCGACAAATTGGGGCAAGTACTACAAATACGTTTGATTCAACAACGTATAACATCACTCAACAAGGCTCGCGTGTGCTGAACGATACTTGGCCGACTAATTGAGCTCAATTAAGATTTTTAAATCTCACGTAGCTTGTACTTTTTGAAAAAGCTACCCAGCAAGGTTTATGGTGAGTGAATGTTTTGCTGTGTGCAATTTTCCGCACGTTTGTTTCAGCTTTAGATTTGTGTGCCTCGGAGAAAAGAGGCTTGAAGTGGTCCTCGTACTTCTATGTTTTAATGTTCTCCAAGGGTTTTAGAATCTAGCAAAATCTGGCCTTTGTGTTAGCTTTGTACCCAAATATGTTTGACATATTGTTACAGGCTTTGTTGCAAGTCAGGTGCATATGGAGGATTATGGAGGATTGCAAGTCATGTGGAGGATTTTGGAGATGCTTGGCTCCAGAAAAAATTGGAATTAATTGTAAAACATCTGGAAAAAATGAGTGGAATGCATTCCTTCATCCTGGCTGTGGCAGAGCTTGGACATGTTGTAATCTGATCAAAGAGAGGATATTGGTAAAACCATGGTTAATGAATATATTTGATTGTCAGTCACCTATACTGCAAACAAACTTATGCAGAATAGGATTGTTAGGCCAAGCATTTATGTATAGCAGGGCATGTCAGTAACAGTTTCGGCAAATGTATGCCTTAAGCCCGAGGCCTCAGTGATCATTGCACAAGGCACCATCAAATTCAGCCCAAAGAGAACCAATATTTTAAGAAATTATAGTATCATGGTGAATTTAGGAGAGAATACTCAAAAACATCTTGCATGCAAAGATAATCTGAAATTCAGCAAATTTGACCTGGTGTGAAGTCAGTACTTGCAGGCACTGCACAAGAACACAGTGCAAGCAAGCACAAGCACCTGTATCTGGGCCCGTTGTCATTGCAGAATGATGCAAGGCTTTTGTTTATATGATGAGCATCAGGAGTAGCTTGGCTCCCAACTTTGGTTCCAGCCCTTCCCAACTTTGGGAAGAAAGTGGGTCAAATTTGAGAGAAGTCTGTTTGTTGACATCTTTTTTGAGGGAAGGTTGGTTTATTTTTCACTGTTCAGCTCTTCCCCCCCCCCCCCCACACACACAAACCCAACCCATTTTGTAAAACTAAGCTCCTGTGAACCATTGAGTATGTCATGCATCTGCTGATTTGATATAACATGGTGTGTAGATCTGTTTCATTAGCTGGATATTTTGATCTAATTTTAGTTTTAATGTGTCTATTACCATTCATCAGTGAACACTCCTATTCTGGATAAATTCATGCTTTTTATTTCTTACCAAGGTACAGTATGGCATTACCTAGCCTGTTCCATGCTTCCCATGTCATTTGTTGGCACAACATTTGATTAGTTTTTACCAATAAGAGTTGTGAAGAAGAGCATTGAGTACAAATGTATTGAGATGTGAGTACATGTTTGTCGTGATTATCATTACATATGAGCATGATGCCGTGGAATTAATGATTGGCTCGTTTTTTTTGTGCATTATGTGGCGGATTTTTTTTCGAACCTCACAAATGATCGACACCTGTGTAGAAATTGGCACTGGTCGCCTGTTGTTACCAGGCAGCGTTTGCGGACAATGGCGTCGGCCGGTGAGCCGGAGGGCGCGCTGCGCCGGAGGGCGGCGGCCATGACACCGCCGCTGGAGCTCTCGTCTCTGGCGGACGACGCGGTGCCGCTCACGGCCGATGAGGAGCAGCTGGAGCAGCTGGCCGACTCGGAGGACGGCTTGATCGAGTTGCGCAAGTCGCCCGCCCACCAGGAGACATGGTTCTCCATCGCCGTGCAGGTGTTCTTCCCGTACCTGGTGGCCGGCTTCGGCATGGTCGGCGCTGGTATCGTGCTCGACATCGTCCAGGTCAGTGGTCCGCGCTTGTGGAGGGATGGGGTGGGTGCGTCTCTCGCGTGTCAGTGTTACATTCATTGAGATTGATGCACGCTCTCGTGAATTGGAAGATGTGTATGGATCTGGCGAGTCATCAGGATTTGTGCTGGTTTGATCCCTTGTTACAAAGTAGCCTGTCATGTAGTAGCAACTGCATCTGCATAGACATGCATCCATGCGTGCACCTGTTTATGCATGCATCCATGTACTTACATGCAGTAGCTGCAACTGCGCAGCTGTAGGACATGCCATAGTTATTCTCACGTGACCACAGATCATGTGATCATGCGCCGTGATCTGTCGCATTGTCACGTGATCTGTCGCGTTATGTGACGTCACTCGCCAGGAAAAGTTGCTTGATCTACCAGCTTACGCGATCTTTTACGTCATGTTATAGCGTCCGTCATGACACGTTTTGACCTGACGACGTGACGTTGTGCGATTGGTCGTGTTTCTTTGTGTTATGTGATGTTGGACGTGATGTATCACTTGTCGCTACCCGTTCCGCCATGTGATGTCACGTGGTATGTGGCAGTAACTTGCCGGTGGCCACGCCACATTTTTTTCATGGATTGCATGGAGTCTGGCAACGAGCCAGATCCGCCACCACCACCACGTTGTGTGGCGTGCACCGTCACGTTACGTCACTGTGCCACGTGCCCGCCTGCTGGCAGCACTGGCCGGTGTTCACGGAGGTGACGGAGGTGTTCATCTTGGTGCCGGCGCTGCTCGGGCTCAAGGGCAACCTGGAGATGACGCTGGCGTCGCGGCTCAGCACGCACGCCAACCTTGGCCGCATGGACGAGCCGCGCGCCATGTGGAGCCTGCTGCTTAGTAACATGGGTCTCATTCAGGTGCGTCACGCCACCTCGATAGGCGAACCGGTCGTTCAGTAGCACGGTTCCAGTGCAGGCACGCCACACGGGGTGGATGCCTAGCGCTCGGGTGCTTGGCGATATGTTCCTCACTCACATGGGTCGCGCCATGTGTGTCCCGATGTGGAATTAAAAGGCTATGTATAATGAAGGCTGCTATGCTAACTGAATGCTGCTGTATAAGGAAAGTGATGGATATTTGCTAATAGCGGGTTTGCCTATGTCCGGCTAGGTTTAAAATTCGTACAGTAGCGGTATGCAGGCAGGAGTCGCACTTAGTTTTTTAGCTCATTCGTGTAGGCGGGCATCTAATACATGGCGACAAGTTATTGGAAGTTCAAGTCAGATTGCACGTGTTTCCCGTTTCAGTGTCAAGCGATAGTGGTGGGCTTCCTGGCATCAACGGCGGCAATAGTGATGGGCTGGATACCGGACGGCGAATTCAACATCCACCACACTCTGCTGCTGTGCGCTAGCAGCGTGGTGACCGCCTCGCTGGCCAGCCTCGTGCTCGGTATGTGACCCAAGCCTGTGTCACGTGATCTCGGAAAATAGCGACGCAGCGTGCCTCCGTGCGTGAGTGGACGGCTGTGAGCGCGGTCGTGTCCTCCGCCGCTGGCCGAACCAGCTGAGCCGACGAGCCAGCTGCCAGCTGAGCCGACGCCGAGCCGAGGCGCCGCGGCACGGCCAGAGCCGGAGCCGGGCCGACCCGAACCCCGTCGGCCGGGACCACGGGACGTAGCCGGGGGGAGGGGGGGGGGGAGTTCTATTCCCGGCGCTCGGACTAAGAGGCCGAACGGAAAAAGTTAACAAGGATAAAGTTGAATTAGAAAACACCGCATTGAAGAACTCTGGTGGCTGAAAGCCAGAAGGATTAAACTCGAAGGGATAAATAAAAAGTCAAGAGGCTAAATGTCTTAAGGAACAAAAGCCGGCTGGAATTTGCGAGGCACTACTGAATTCTCATGCTGGCCTACTCTTATCATAAGCGCGGCTTGAAGCATCGAGTACTGGCAATAGAATGACTGCTTTGTAACGTCCTTCAACCTAGCTCTTGATGTACTGAAGTTTGATATCTTGGTATAGGAACTTTCAACTCATGCCGAGTACAGGGATGTAGTTTTCTATTCATTTGGGTTGGCGAGGGGAAGACGGGTGTCCCCCGACCAAGTTTCGGGAAAAGTATATTTATGGATGTTTTGAAGGAACGCTGCGTCAGTTCTTCTGCTCCACCCCTCCTCCCCAACTCCTTTTGCTAAACCACGCCCCTGGCCGAATAACCAGGCAGGTAAGGTCTTCCTCCGACATCGATATCAAGATGATACATGATATCAAGCGCCATAGTTTTGAACAGGGAGCGGATGTAACGATGTGTGTTTTTAGGGTTTCATAATGCACTCGCGGGTTCACTGCCGACACAGTCGCACAACAGATGTCGTCCGCTGTCGTGCGGCCGCTCACGTGCCCTGCTGCTCTCCCTCTCCCCCAACGTCAGGCGTTGGTATATCGAAGCCGCGGGTCCCCCGTCTAACCGACGAGAGCCAGGTTATGTTGCAAAAAAGCTGAGGCCGTTCTGTTGGCGTCGTATTTAGGCCCTTTAAGGCCCTTTTTAGTTTTCCCCTAAGGCTTCCTTGAAATGTGTTTGGCCTGATCCTGTCCCGTCCAGCAGCTCATGCTCCGTCCAGTTCCGGCTGATCTCGTCCGTTCCCTCCGGTTCCGTCTGTCCCGTCCGGTTCCTTTCGATCACGTCCGGTTTCGTCTGTCCCGTCTGGTTCCTTTCGATCACGTCCGGTTCCGTCTGTCCCGTCTGGTTCCTTTCGATCACGTCCGGTTCCGTCTGTCCCGTCCGGTTCCTTTCGATCACGTCCGGTTCCGTCTGTCCCGTCTGGTTCCTTTCGATCACGTCCGGTTCCGTCTGTCCCGTCTGGTTCCTTTCGATCACGTCCGGTTCCGTCTGTCCCGTCCGGTTCCTTTCGATCACGCCCGGTTCCGTCTGTCCCGTCTGGTTCCTTTCGATCACGTCCGGTGACGTCCGATACCGTCTGATCGCGTCCGGTCACACGGGGTCTCGTCTGGTGCCGTCCAAACCGGACGGCAGTCCCGTCCGGTCCCGACCCACCTGGTCCCATCTGGTCCCGGCCGGCTCCGATCCAGTCCCATCTCGGCTGTTCTCGCCCCGTCCCGTCCCATTCCATCCCGTCCCGTCCCATCCCATCCCATCCCATCCCGTCCCATCCCATCCCATCCCATCCCGTCCCGTCCCGTCCCGTCCCGTCCCGTCCCGTCCCGTCCCGTCCCGTCCCGTCCCGTCCCGTCTCGTCTCGTCTCGTCCCGTCCCGTCTCGTCTCGTCCCGTCCCGTCTCGTCCCGTCCCGTCTCGTCCCGTCCCGTCCCGTCTCGTCCCGTCCCGTCCCGTCCCGTCCCGTCCCGTCCCGTCCCGTCCCGTCCCGTCCCGTCCCGACCCGTCCCGTCCCGTCCCGTCCCGTGCTAGTCAGTCCAACCAGTCTCTTCCCGTGGCCATAACTTTATTCATCTCTCGTACCAGTTATTAAGTCCTGATAACTCTGCTGTCTTGAATCATTTTGACTTTTAACCGTTTTTACACATCCGAGCTGACCTTTATCACTGTCAGTGCAATGTCAATGTCAATGTCTATGTCACCGTCAATGTATTTTGACTTACTCCGTTTTTACTCTTATCCCTGTTGGGTTATTTTCCTTTGACATTTCTCCTATTCACCTTTTACCCTTGTTGACTGTTAGTGCGCTCAACGTTTTCCGATTGGTCGCTTGCTGCTGTCAACATTTATCTATTTCGACTTCTCGTCCCTGAACTTTTTTGTTCGGCTTTGTTCATTCGACCTTTTCACATTCAAATGTTTTCCCTCTTGTCCCCCTTGCCCCCCTTAAGCCAAGAACTTTACACTATATAGTGAACAATTTTGCAGGAATTCGGTCTGACTTCACCGCAGTTTTGACAAAATTTAATAGTTGCTCCTTCCCCCCCCTCAGGAAAAAATGTTAGTACGTGCATGCCCGGGCCGACGCGGCTGGGCGGCGTGTGGGCGGACGGGCGACCGCCGCTCCGTGGCTCTCCGCGGCGCGGCGACGACGCCTGTCTCTCGGCGGCCGGCCGGTCAGCGGCGGCGCGGCCCGAGCCGGCTGGTCGGAGCCGGCCCACTGACTCAGCGCCGCTGACGCCGCAGGCAGCGTCATGATCGCCGTCATCGTGCTGTCGCAGCGGTTCAGCATCAACCCCGACAACGTGGCGACGCCGATCGCCGCCAGCATGGGCGACCTGGTGACCCTGGCGCTGCTCTCCTGGATCGCCTCCCTCCTGCACAGAGCCATCGGTGGGTACATCCCTCCTGCACAGAGCCATCGGTGGGTACATCCCTCCTGCACAGAGCCATCGGTGGGTACATCCCTCCTGCACAGAGCCGTCGGTGAGTACACCCCTCCTGCACAGAGCCGTCGGTGGATACACCCCTTCTGCACAGAGCCGTCGGTGGGTACACCCCTCTTGCACAGAGCCGTCGGTGGGTACACCCCTCCTGCACAGAGCCGTCGGTGGGTACGCCCCTCCTGCACAGAGCCGTCGGTGGGTATACTCCGCGGCACAGGGCTACTGGTGCCTGTTATGCAACTTTTGATGCCCCGTGCTACACAGAACCTTCGATTAAATACTGGTGGCTTTTCTGAGGACGAAAACCGCAGGGCGGATGTAACTCAGCAGAATGTGATCTTGCATGTGCTTGTGGCCTCACGTTGCCAGAAGCTGGTCTGTGCGCGAAGGCCAGGCTTCTCAGCATAGCCATCAATCTTAGGCTTTATCTTTCCAATAACTATACGTAATGACCATGTCACGTCTTCCGTGCCTTTCGGGACTCGCGGTCCGAGCCGAACAGCGATATTGTTTGGTCTACGCTGTAGAAAGGAGCACTATAAAACCGGGCACGGCTGGGTAGAAGCAATTATGTCGGGCTATAAGCGGCCGGTATTTTTAGTCACGGCATTACGATTTGGGCAGGTTTGGTCACGTTCCCGCGTCGACAGGACGTTTGCAGACGGGGACGCGCTTACATGTGGTGCATGCGTCGTAGACCTGCAGCGCCAGCTTCCATAAGCGGAATATCCGTGTCATTTGGTAGCTGCCACTCAGCTATTGACAATGGTCGGAAACTCCGTGTCGAGCTCTGTGTTGCGTGACTTGATGGCGGATTCGCACAAATCACCGGAGAATGTGGTATAGTATCCTTCTATTGAGATTCGATTGGTGTTTTTTTTTTGTTGGTATTAAAGGAATCGTTCCACTTTTGAAGATGTTAAAACAAGCAAAGATATGATGGCATGAGCTCACTTATTACTATTGGTACACTTAATTAGAAAAGACTGCTCTAGACAACATAATGTTCATGTTAAGTAAATATGCTTTTTAATGCGTCATTGTTTGATAATGTCATCGTGCGTGGTACGATATTGATTGAGAATCAATTGAACGGCCATTATATATGGAAATCGTGTACACGATCGCCAGGTATGGACGACTCTACAATTATATTTTTATCGGCCTTGATCTCCGCATGGCGAGTGTAATGTCAGGCTTGGAATGACGTTGTTTTAGCGTCATGAATTCCTGGGTGACCTTTCAAAACCCCATACAAATATGGAACACTCTCTTCAAACCTGCTACGTCGCAACGTTGACGCTTTTTGTGTTGCGTTTCTGCTGTTATTGCATTTTGATATGATGGCAACGTCATAGAATATAGTTAACGTAAATGTATTACCCCGACTGTCGAGATCAGCTGTCCGCCGACCCTCGGTCAGCTGGCTCTAGTCACCAGCCTCTGGGCAGCGACTCAGACAAGCAGACATGAGTGGCGTACGCTGCTAACTTGGTGTACAACGCGGTCCTAGGGGCGTTTGACGCTCGCCGTCCTGTTCCTGTATAATTCTGCACTCCCCCCTCTCTCTCTCATCTCTCTGATGCTAGCGCCCCCGCTCTCTCTCTAGCGCCGACGACGCGCGCTTCGAGAGAGCGCGAGGCGAGCGCGCGTCGAGCGAGAGAGAGGAGAGCTCCGAGGAGAGAGGCAGACGAGAGGAGAGGTAAGGAGGCGAGAGATGCGGAGCGCGAGAGAGAGAGAGAGAGAGAGAGAAGCGCGCGCGAGAGAGAAGAGAAGAGAGAGAGAGAGAGAACGAGTAAGAGAGCTAGAGAGAGAAAGAGACTTCTAAGAATCCGCTCTAGGGATAACGAGAGCGAGATAGAGCAGGAGAGAAGGAGAGAAGCACCGCCTTCTACTCTCTTAGAAGCTAGAGAGAAGTGCTCGACGAGAGAGAGAGAGAGAGCGAGAGAGCTTCTCTCTCTTCTCCTCTCTCTCTCTCTCTCTCTCTCTCTCTCTCTCTATCTCTCTCTCTCTCTCTCTCTATTCTCTCTATCTCTCTCTCTCTCTTCTCTCTCTCTCTATCTTCTCTCTCCTCTCTCTCTCTCTTTCTCTCTCTCTCTCCTCTCTTCTCTCTCTATCTCTCTCTCTCTCTCTCTCTCTCTCTCTCTCTCTCTCTCTATCTCTCTCTCTCTCTCTCTCTCTCTCCTTCTTGCTCTCGCTGTCTCTCTCTCCCGTCCGTGTGGAGCGGGCTGGCCGCCGGGCCCAGGCTGTGTGTGTGTGACGCGGCGTCCGTGTTTGGCCAGAGCCGGACCCGTGGCTGGCGCCCACCATTATCGCCGTGTACCTGCTGCTGATCCCGCTGTTCGCCTGGGTCTCTCACCGCAACCAGTACACGCGCGTCGTGCTGCTCGAGGGCTGGACGCCTGTCATCGCAGCCATGCTCATCAGCAGGTACGCAACGGAGACGGGCGCCAGCCGGCTACTCAGGGAACACGACATTCACCTGGTAGGTAACGGAGGTGTTTGGCAGCGAACACCGAGGGAAATGGTTATCAGCAGGCAGCATGGTATCTCTGGTGTGCAGAGGTAATCTCCACAGGTTTGTAATGGGGCGGCTACCGCCTGACATGCAACGGGGCAGCAGTCGTGATCTTTGGTTAGTGAGCGACAAGCACGTGGAGGCATTACAGCCGTCAGATATGTAAAGAGACGTGAGCCGCCGTGATTCTTTCGACGGGCTTGCGGTCAGCTGGCGCGGCCGGCGGCGGAGTCGGCCGCTCGCTGAGCGGGCCAGAGGCGGTCCGTTTTCGCACAGTTGTGCGGAGCTGATCGGTGCCTGATGGCCGTGCTCATATCGATTCGGCCGCTAATGAGTGTGTTGCTCCTCGCTGCTGGTAAGTGGTCGGACGGATGGGGGCGGTCGTTAGGTGGCACGCGGCCGGATGGGTTTGACACGCCACAGCCGTACGGGGGCCATCTGCGTGTGTCTCAACCTCCGAAGTAGCTGCTGTTGTGGTGAACTGAGTTGAGTGAGCTGTGGGGCGGATGAAGACGGTGAAATGCTGACGGAATCTACAGAAGTGACTCGCTGCGATCAACATTGGACGCTCGCGTACGTGGTCAGAAGTTACCGCTCTGACGGGCGTCATGTATGACCTTTCACGGCAGTTTTGACCTGACCTGACCTGCTTCTCCCGCAGCGCCGGCGGCCTGATCCTGGACTTCGCCGTGTCGGCGTACGAGGGCGTGGCCGTGTTCCAGCCGGTGATCAACGGCGTGGGCGGTAACCTGGTGGCCGTGCAGGCGAGCCGCATCTCGACCGAGCTGCACCGCGCCGGCCGGCCCGGCCAGCGGCCGCGCGCCGAGCACGCGCCGCTCCACGTCTGCCTCACGCCCTGGGCCGCCTTCTGCCAGACAGGTGGGCCGGCCGGCACGCGAGGCAGGCGCGCGCGCCCACCTCGGCGCCGGCTGCTGCGGCCGCTGTGGGGTTGTCGGACTGGCAGGTTCCCTTGTGTGGGAGGATGAATGGCGTGGTACGTGAGAACCATACGCCAGGTGACCACACTTAAGCTTTAGCGGTTCGTTTGGGTCTGACAGTGTGAGCATGTTTTTTTTTGTTTTGTTTTTTTTTGTCCGTATTAGGTCTCGTTCAACGTGTTCGGCTTTCGGACGAAGTGTGTGGCCCGCATTAAAAATCTTCACATCTGTCCCATTATGCCGGGCGAAATCGGGCGCTTCGACGTATCGGGCCACGCCGTGGCCAGTCTCCGACTCCTCGATAGTAGCGCAGCAGCTGTCCCCACAATTTCGTTCTCACCATTTTAACCACGCTGAGGGGAAACAACGACAATAGCAGCTGATGTGGCTGCTGAACCGCGCGAGCGGCCCGGACTGACCCCCACCCGCCTGTGGTGCGAGCGCCCCGGAGTGGCCCCATTCCCACCCTGTGGTGATTCGTGCGAGCGCCCTCGGACTGACCCCCCCCCCGTCCCCCCGGCAGGCGGACACTCGCGGACGGCACGCGTCCTGCTCAGCATGGTGGTGCCTGGCCACCTGGTGTTCACCTACAGCATCAGCTACTTCCGGGCGGGCCACACGTCCCTGACGCCGCTCTTCCTGGTGGTGTACAACTGCGCCGCCGTGCTCCAGGTCAGTGGCGGCCGCCGCCTTCAGACGGGAGCGCAGCGCTCGGCGGCGGCGGCGGCGGCCGGGGCGCGGTCAGGACTGCAGCAGCGTGAGAAAGCATACTTCGGTAAAGCAAGCGTAGACGGTGGCTGTTGCTTTGAAGGTTTTCCGTAGTGGGTGAATTCGGACGCCGTAATAATTTCTGTTGCGGATGCGATTGGTCGGAGGTGTTTGTGACGGCATTCGACGACACGCTGGTTGGCGAGGCTTCGTAACGCCAGGGACGTCGCCAATAGCTTAGACCAGCCGCAGGCGCGGAAAACATAGTGTAGCGTCCCGATTGCTGGCGCCCGGCGGGGCGCTTGACCGCCGCGATAAAGTCCGCACGAAGACCCTGAGCCGGGGCGCCGCCGCCGGCTGGGCGTCCACGCTCTGCTCTCGGAGTGTGTGAACGTCCCCCCGCCCCTCCCCGCCGCAGCTGTGGGAGTGGCGGCGAGACGTGTCCTGTCGCCTCGCGACAGGACAGGACGCGAACGGCCGGCGCCCCGTCTTCTGCGCCGCCCCCGCCGTGTCACGGCGGCCGCGAGCTCGGCTGCCCGGGGCCTGTATATGCGAGGCCCGCTCTGCCTGGTGGCACCAAGTCCGTCGGTCCTGACGTCATATCCCCGGTCCGAGTTGGATTGGTGTGTGGGGGCCTCACGCGTTTGAAACGTCCGAGGTTCCCGACTGCATGCTTTACGTGCGGGAGCGTCTATTGCCAACTGGTCGATCTCTTCACCCTCGTCGTCTAGGTTGTGTTGATGACGATTGTTGCCGAGCGAGTGTGCTCCCCGTGGTCGCCGCTGATCCCCCCCCCCCCCCCCCCCCCCCCCCTCCCCCCGGACAGGTGGTTGTCCTGCTGTACGTGGCGCACTGCATGATCCACTGGATGTGGAAGAACGGGGTGGACCCGGACAACTCGGCCATACCATATCTCACAGCGGTACGTATTGCCGGCGCCGGTCTGTCGTGTCAGCGAGCTTCTTCCTGCCGCTCCCGGACACGGAGCGGTTAAACGAAACGGCCTCACACGGAGACCTGCGTCCGCTCGTATTCCCTGCCCTACGATGCCCTAGCGTGCTGGCGGCCCTGTGAAGACCGCCAATAACGCGGCAGATATTGATCCGGAAGATATTTGCAGTGCAGATTAGATTTCTTTCCGCTTTCTTTTGAGGCACGTGCCAACCCGTGTCGTGATGTGCCGTGCTGTGCCGTGCGCCAGCTGTGGCCGTCCACCTCGCATCGTGCTGTCTGCTGTTGACGGCCCACCCCGTGCTGTGCCGTGCCGATGACACCACGCGCTGAGCAGCCTCTGCCCGGCCCGCAGCTGGGTGACCTGATCGGCACCGGCCTGCTGGCGCTGGCCTTCCAGTTCCTCTTCATCATCGGCGACCGCGACTCGGACCTGGGCGACTGAGGCGGCGGCGCCGGGGTCCGGTCTGCCTGCCCGCCGACGCGCGCGGCCTGACGCGGCCAGCCGCACGAGCGGTGCGGTTCTTCCACTGGCGGTGGCAGGCACGCCCGCGGTGATGAGAGCCTACTCACGAGAGATTCACGACGGAACTTTCGCGTCGAGCGTGGCGGCAGGGTCCGCGATCTTACGGAGAGTGCGACGCGGCTCACTATTACTGCACCGCGTCCGTCTCTGTCTACGTGGCATTTTGGCATGTAGTCTGAAGTCTGCGGATGGCCTGATGTGGGACTGTCCGGGTTTGGGGGGTGGGGTGGGGTGTCCCGGGTGGAGGCTGTGCTTTTGATGGGGAGTGGATGGACGGGGCGGGTGGCGCTCCGGTGTTTTATTTCGGTGCGCTTCCGTACCTGTGGGGTCGTGTTTCCGTACGGAATGGGAAGACGCAGCTCTTTCACTTTACTAAAGAGCGAGAGTACTTAAGGCGGCCCACCGACACGACTGCGTTGCGGAGCTGGTCATTCATGAGCTTTATAGCCAAATGTGCGTGGCGTTTCACCCCAACCGGAGCTGGGCGGGTGTTGGCGTGGCGGCGGTCGTAGTATCGCGCGTCCGGTGGCCCCGCCCGATCCCGTCGGAGGGCAGGCACCGCCGCTGGGTATCATTCCGCGCTGCCGTCCCCTGTCGGGGCATCGGTAGGAACAAACAGCGAGACTTTCAAACCGTCTGCGGTCATCCCCTGACTAGATTCGCCAGCATCACCACCCACCATCACCGGCCGGCCCGGAGCGCAGCGGGCGGCCACCCTCGGCCTGGCGCGGAGGGCGGGCGGCGCCGGCCTGGCCGACGACGCCGCCGCCGCCCAGTCAGCGACGACTCAGAGCCGCCGCCGAACGGAGACGGCGGCCGCGACGTCCGACAGACGACCGAATGCCGGTTAAACGAGATTAGTGCGGGCAGGCTCGTCACCATGTGCACTGCCGGCTCGAGGCATGCGAAAATGTGTATAGCGTGTGTCGGCCATCACCGCCGGGCTTTAAAGTGCCTTCTTAAGACAGCTTTTTACTTAGCTCCCTGGTCTCATTTTTTCAGTAATCAAACAATCACGAGGCGCGGGTACGTTGGGCGTTTCGTTGCTTGGTTATTTATTGTTTGGCGTAGCTCTAGTTGAAACCTCTGTAAACGCGCACGTGTTCAGATATATCCTGTGACCTACGAAAAGGAACGTTTATACCCAGAGAATATAGAATTGACGGCGATTTGCTTGTTTCTATCGAACGTCATTTCATTTGACGAAACGCAGAAAAAGAACTAACTTTATTTGCGCAGACACGGTGATCGGCACGGCCAGCAAACAAAACATATCTCACGGCCTTGTCGCGGCTAGACGTGTTAGCTCGAACGACGTTCCGCACCAATGTCTCTATCAAAATATCACAACATCAAGATACTAATATCAAATATGATAACAATATCACGACCTTTTCAAGTATTTATCACAGCCATTTCGCGACTCCTGGCCGCTCGCATTTCTCGCGCCACATTTCTCGTGTGGCGCAAGGCGATCACAACATCTGCATCGCGCCAAAACAATCGGTGAACCTACACTGACTGGCATATCACAGACGGGTTACGTGCTGCACAATATGGTGTTGTCGGGCGGGTGCCGACGATCCTGCGGCCGCTGTCCCGGCTCCAGACGGCGCGTGCCGGCGGGGAGTCTGGACCCGGTGGTCCTGCGCCCGCCGCCCCGGCTCCAGACGGCGCGTGGCGGCGGGAGCCCGGACCCGTTCCGTTGGCGGTCCGCCCCACTAGCCGGCCGTGACGCTGCGGCCCAGGCTGATATCCGCTGCCGGTCCGCCAGCCGACCGTCGGCAGTCGCTGGTGCCCCGCTGCAACCACGGACAGCGTCACAACAGGCCAGCGTCACGTGCGACCAGCGCTACAGCACGGCCTGTGTCACATGCGGCCGCGTGCGAGACCACCAAACCTCCCCAGTACACACGGAGGCGAGCCCAGCGCCGTCGTTGGACCCCGGGAACGGAAGAAACGCCTCTCCGGGTGAGATGGGGGGTATGTTACTGCACCCGCGGCAGTGCTGGGCCACCTGGTCCTCGCCTGCCGAGCGGACCAGCCACCGGAAGCGGGCCGCGTCGGCCGGCGTCGGCGGAGTTGTCAGGGCCTCGTGACCGGCCGGGCTCCGGCGACCCCCGCCTGGCCCGGCACCGCCAGCAGCAAGGCGTATGGATCCGATCCGGCTGGCGTGTGTGTGTGTGGTCGATCGCGGAAATCGCGCCCCGTCGCCGACTGGCCGTCAAATTAGGCCCAGCGCCCGGGCCATTTCGTTAGTGGATATATTCGGGAAGGGTGGGTGGTGGGCGAGGTGTCATCATCCTAAGACTGATTGGGTGGCAACTGAAAGGCACGACGCCGTGGCCACGTATTTTCTGATGCAGAATACGTTCATGGTTATAAATAACGATACATACAAGATACGTACATACATACAAGATACAAGCACGAGATAGATGTTCCCCGTATTCAAGTCGCCGGACATCAGGCAGCGCGGAGGTTGATTGTCTAGCTGCGGAGGTGTTGACTATGCATGCTGCTGAAATATTTACTGAACAAGGGCCAGCATAGGAGAGATGGAGTGCACATGTAGCAGAGATGGTGTGTCTGACATAGAGATAGTTCATGGGGCTGGTCGCGGGCATGGTTCAGGAATCAGACTCGAGTCGATATTTTCATTCGATGAATTGGACCAGCGACGCCGAAACGGAGGATGAGAACATTCCTGGCCGCTTCGCATCCTCACACGTCGGCGTAAACACGCGCCATCAAAGCACCATCAAATCAACCGCGAGGGCCTGCCTCAGCTGTTCGGAGATCAAAGCGGATGCCCACGTAGGCGCAGACACCCACTCCATGGGCCGCGACGATCTCGGGCGCTGCGCGTGACCCCGCACCTCAAACACACAGACGGCGTGCTACAGGCCGGAGCGGTCGCGAACTGCGCTGCTTACCGGTGCTGGCGACGGACGGGAGGGAGCAGTCGCAGCCCAGAGCTCTGGCGGGCCGCCTCTCGGCGCCGACGAAGACGGGGCGCCGCCCACTGACCGCGCCGCCACCACAGTTGACGGGGCCGGACGAGCCGGACGAGCCAACGGCGGGACGCGGTCGGCCACGACGACGAAAACGATGAGCGAACAGACGACGTTCCAACACCTGGTGGGTATGTCCGAGAACGGGGGGCGACGGCCAGCAGCACATGGGCCGCTGAGTTTATCAGAAAACGTGAACGGCTCCTGTCGAGGAGCCCCCGTGCTTCACCCGGAGGGCACGTCGCTTCGAAAAGTCAAGCCTCGCGGTGGTCTCTCGTCACAGGTTCAGAGCCCGGGCACCTGTTGCCTGCCGCTCAGATTACAAACTTACTCACGGCGCACAGGGATTGGAAGTAACTGAAAGGCTTTCGACTTGAATATGTAACAAGACGGGCGACACACCTTATCTATTTTCCGCTATGATAATCTGCAATTTGACCTTAGCGCGAGCCTCTCGAGGCGGACAGGCGGTACTGGTGACTCCATTGAGACAATTCATAGCGCCGCGGCCCAATGCAAAGCGTCAAACAGGAACTTCCTCCGTTTCTCAAAATCTCCTGGGACAGAAAAGCTGCTTTTTTTACATATCAAAACCGTCCGCTCGTTCTAGAAAAGACGAAAATGCAAAACTTGTTGGTTTTAAGCCCAATCAATTCGATACGTTTGCCAACTGTATGCATTAATTTTCCACACACTTATACATTTTGGTTATAGTGTATTGTAAGGTATTAATATGTCACGGCCCATCAATGCTATAAAAGACGTCGGTATCAGATTTTTACAGACAGTACAGCAATGGATAATTCAATACATGTTATGCCAAAAAGAAGCCGGCAGCGGGACGGGGGTCAGTCACGCCTGAACAGCGTTGACCGAGGAAGACGAGGACAGATGCTCGTCTGCGCTTACCAATGATATCCCACCTACTAGAGCGCCCAGCATCATCAGGTCGTGTACAAGGCATCCCGCGTCACCCCAAAACTTCAGGTTCAGCTCACACCTCAGATCATCGGCCACGCAGCCGGCGGAGGGAGCCGTCTCCAGAAGTCTCTCAATCCCTATATACGCATTCCATGTTACATCACACCTCAGATCATCGGCCACGCAGCCGGCGGAGGGAGCCGTTTTCAGCAGTCTCTCGATCCCTATATCCGCACCCCATGTCACATCACACCTCAGATCATCGGCCGCGCAGCCGGCGGAGGGAGCCGTCTCCAGAAGTCTCTCAATCCCCATACATGCACCCCATGTCACATTACACCTCAGATCATCGGCCGCGCAGCCGGCGGAGGGAGCCGTCTCCAGTAGTCTCTCAATCCCTATATATGCACCCCATGTCACATCGGGCCGACCGTATATCCCTGCAGAGTTGTCACAAGGCGTCTCCGAAATAATGTCGTCACGGGGTGTCTCCGAAATAATGTCGTCACGGGGTGTCTCCGAAATAATGTCGTCACGGGGTGTCTCCGAAATAATGTCGTCACGGGGTGTCTCCGAAATAATGTCGTCACGGGGTGTCTCCGAAATAATGTCGTCACGGGGTGTCTCCGAAATAATGTCGTCACGGGGTGTCTCCGAAATAATGTCGTCACGGGGTGTCTCCGAAATAATGTCGTCACGGGGTGTCTCCGAAATAATGGGTTTACCTACGCTGGACAAAACAGACGTCCACCTGTACGGCTGCGCACGTCGAACGCATCAACGAAGCATGCGTTTAAGCAAGTGTTTTGTGATCGCTTGCAACAAATATAACATTTAATTGCGGATCAAATGTTTCGCTCACATGGAGACAATGCAATCCTACTGAGATGGAAGTTGACCGATGCGTCCAAGACCAGTTGCACGCGGGGAAAACCGTCCGAGACACGCTTTGCTGGTACACGAAGCAGGGGAAATCGGTCAAACCTGTCTCATGCCTGCCTGTAACGACTCATTCACTGCAAGCAGATGTCATTGCAGTCTGTAGGGAACCACTTAATACACACAAGGTTTATCCCCAAAGATCATTCCGGAATGCGCGGCTTTCTTCGAGGCAGGGGAGGGCAGCGAAAGCTGTCACACAGGTGGCCTGGACTGGAGCTGACATGACAACGGCCCTTGCCAGGACGTAGGAAGCATATCAGAACAGGCCGGCAGCAGAGCAGGTTTGACGTGGCTGCTGCGGTCTACACTGCACCAGAGGAGCGCAAGCGGGGCCGGCTGCCCGTGTCGTATGAACGACACAGCAGAGCATCGGGAGGGTCGACAGGGAGAGCTCGCCGGGGACGGCATACCACACCCCACTAGGGGCACCTCAGACAGGCTGACCCCAGACTGCACGACCCCAGATGCTGACCCGAAGCCCACAACACACGGGACGTTTCCAGACGCCCATTGCAGAGCGGACGCGCCCTCGGCCACCGCCGTCAGCGCCTCACCAGTCGGGTCAGGCGTCACCGTACTGGTCGTCGATGCCTTACCGGTCACCAGAGCCGCCAGGAGCTCTTGCCGGCTGTCGGCGCTGGCGCGCTTCCGGAGCGATGCCGCCCGCAGGTGGACTCCTGTTCCTCGCCTCCGCATGGACTCCTTCTCTTCGGCATCTCACAGAGTCCTGCTCGTCGGCCTGACCCCGGGTCCGACGACACGTGCCCCGCGAGGGCGGCCATAGACAGCGCCGCCTCGCGACGACTGGGACTCGCCCCTCGTGGCCGCAGAGCCCGCACCGGCCGAGCTCCACGCTGTCCGGTGCGCGACCGGGGAGACACGGCCGCACCACTACCCGGTCGTCCCAGCAACATCACCACACGGCGGTCGTTCCGAACGCCGAGCAAATTGACAGGTTGGAGGCAAGACGGACACCGCAGGCGAGGAACGACTCCGTCCCACTGAACGGCCTTCGCGTCAGGGAAAGCAGACTTGACCCAAGAGTACGACCCACAGCACCGTCCAGCGCCGTCACCCTGGGCCCCTGCCGCGCTGGAAGCCGCACAATATCTTCCTTCCGTCACAAGGCATGTTCTCACCAACATGACAGCTCATTGGCTGCGCATCCGGTAGCAGATGCTGTCCGGGAGCAGCTGACGCGCCACCGGACGTGCGGAACGCACCCCAACAGCCCAGTTGGGCACAGGCGGACGACGCGTATCTAGAGCCCACTCCAAAAACTGCTCTGTTTGACACCTGCCAGTTGGCGGAGTCCGGTTCCCGACACCCGCCAGCTGGCGGAGTCCGGTTCCTGACACCTGTCAGCTGGCGGAGTCCGGTTCCCGACACCCGCCAGCTGGCGGAGTCCGGTACCCGACACCCGCCAGCTGGAGGAATCCGGCTCCTGACGTCGCGCACGGCGTGACGTCTGAACCACTGACTGACAGCCACCCAGATCGCCCGCCCAGAGTGACTCGGCGCGACGGCACTGCTACCCCGGCAGTCGGTCGACCGTGACGTCACGCCGTCGTGGCGGCTCCTGGCACTGCGTTGTTCCGTTCCCTTTAAATCTGCATTTTATGAAAGACTCACGTGTTATTATACTAAATGTTACAAGTCACTTGAAAAATCGCATGTGCCCTCATATGTAGGTAGAAAGATTGTCCACCAACACAACACCAACCGTTACAAACCACCAGTCTGTTCACACAGGCAAGCGGTAGGGATGGTATTTGACGCGCCTAGTCCTGATCGGTTTGGTTGGTTGGTAGGTTATTTGGACTTTAGGGAACAAGACTGCTTGGCTTGTACAATCCGGAGACAGCTGTCGTGCACCAGTCGTGCGGTGACCGCGCTACTCAGCAGCATCGCAGGACACTCGGGCCCGGTACATTGGCGCGACCGATAGCGTGGCGGAGCGGTACGGAGGCCAGGATCACTCCCGAGAAGTCTGAGCCGGAGTGGGAATAGCCTCAGCCCACCGCGGCGTCTGGTGAGCGTCATCGACCCACCGCGTCATGCTCGGGTCGACATCGCCTGGTTGATTCGAATTACGGTTAGCGGGCTCAGTAGATCAACCGGAGGGTCAATTGCTTTTATGAGGACATGAATGTGAGGCAGTAAACCTGTTCGACTGGTTCGAAGCGCTTCTCGATGATTGCCGCCCAAAATGTGATATTTCCGACCGCCCGTGCAGACGATGTCGTGGCGTCACCGTCAGTGGTCTTGTCGGAATCAGGCGGCGGAGTATCACGTATAACTTTAGTCACACTGCCAATGCGGCCACCAGTAAGGTCCAGGTCACATCTTGTTGGACACGACGGGAGTGCTCAGGGAACCGGGAGGCCCCAGCCGCTGCGCCCAGCCATCCCCGGACGTCTCGAAGCAGATATTCCGTAGCAGTATGCCACAAGCCCAACGATACACGGCAGAGGCGAGTCGCACCGCACAGTGACCGTCTCGTTCCTATCGGCAGTCTGCGGTATGAATCCGCCGCCGTGGGTCGTTCCCCGACCGCGCAGAGGTCACAAAACGACGAGTCATCCGTTCTGGGGCGGCGACAACAACGCCGACCGAGCGGCGGGCATCGGTGGCATCGGAGCTCAGCCGTCGCGTCTTCACACCATGCACCACAGCGCGGTCACCGAGCAGCGCGCTGCACGGATGTGCGGTCGGGGCGTAGGTGACCTGCGTGAGTTAGTCGAGAGCGCAAAGCTTTTCTCAGGGAGCGCATACTGCTTCGTAAATGCTGTATTTGAGACGCCGTCCACAAGCAGACTTCCACGGCATCCAAATGCCATTCTCAGCCCCGCCAAGACCAATCAGAGGCTTCCCATCGTAATAAGCCCAGTCAGCATTTGTGGAGTTGATTTTCCATGCAGCTAGAGTGGACCCCAATAACGACAGTAAACCTTCCAAGAAAATGCTCCATCCTACTTATCTGCTATGGAGACGACCGCTCACTTATCACACAGACGTTGCACCATTCATCAGTCGCTCAGCTTATTCCAACGGCGGTAGCTGACTGAGTGGACAGTGAGCGTGCGGTGGCATTCAGTGCTCACGACCAATAAAATAACGTCAGTATTCACGTAGCAACAGTGAAACCAGAGGATTGCTGTGTCGTTCGTCGTCGCTTCGCGCAGGGTTATTTGAGTCAGGAACGGAATGAGATCTTGCCGGCAGACGACCACAGCCTGAAACTGCCCGCCTTACACTCCAATGGCAACCAACAGAGTCGCCGAGTCCACATCCCCTCCGGGCCTTCCAGCCAGGCACCACCTCAGACCTCACACACACATGGACGGCGTTACAGGTGTTTATTTCAGTGTTGCAGCGCTAAATGGGCGGGACAGGCATTGATGAATGAACGGAGCGGCCGGCCAAGCTCAGCAAGCGGTGAGGCGGCGGCCCTGACGGCCGGCCAGTCTCTGGCGGCCGTCGTCTGCCGCCGCCGCTGGCACACCCGGCTCTCCTGACTCCGGTTACTGAACAGCCCGAACCACGATGACCAAACACATACACACAGACCGAGCGGCGCTGCCAAGACGGCAGCCGCCGGCTGCGGCGCAGACCCGCCGGCTCTGTCCGAACCAGGCTCGCCGCGCCGCCGACCGAGCCTTTGTACAGCGCCGAGAGCGTGTCCCGAGGTCAGGGACCGAGCCCGACACGCCGCCCGAGGAGGCGGCGGCGTCCGCAGTCAGCCCCGCCCCGCCGGCCGGCCGCGTTCGCCGACCGCGCCCCGCCGCCGGCGTGACTCCGCTCGGCCGGGCGCCGGCGCCGCTCAGTACGAGCGCACGTCCAGCATGCGGCCGTCGCAGCGGGCGCCGTCCATCAGGCTGATGGCGCGCTGCGCCTCGTGAGGGCTCGAGAAGCGCACCACGCCCACGCCCTTACCCTTCATGTCGGCGAAGCGCACCTCGCCGATGTCGCGGAACTGGTCGCGCAGCATCTGCCACGTGAAGCCCGGGTCCAGCTGTGGAACAGACACACACGGGCGGCCCGGTCAGAGCGGCGGCAGCGCCACGCTCCGGCGCGCGCCCGGCTCGGCACCTGGGGAGGGCGGTTAGAGACCACGGAGGCGAGCGGAGGAGTCGCCTTCCGCAGAAGTCGCGGCAGCCGGAGAGAGCGGAGCAAGGTCGAGTCGAACACAGTGACGGTCATGCGACGCAATCGGGAAGACACGATGGCGCGTCGGACGGTACTCTTTGGATCTCAGACACGGACCAGTGGACTTCCAGTGTTATCCAAACATCTGACAGCAGTATGCCTTCCCACCGTGCACGAATACGGGTAACTGACCGAAGTGCAGGGAGTACATCAGCCAGTGCCGAGCGAACGGCGCCCCCGGTCAGGCGTGTCGGACGTTGTCAGAGAGCGGAATCAGAGGCAGAGCCGAATGTCGTGGGTTGACCAGTGAAGGGAACGTGACCATGGTCGGCCGATCAGTGATTTTCTCAGGCCCGGTCAGTATTCGAAGCAGTGACTAACACGAAATATTAGGAGCAATTGGCTGGCTTAGCCTGTCACCGCCGGGGCAATCAAAGGAGAACGTGCTAATTCGTTCACTTACTTAGTCTTCTAACACCCGCTAACATCACACTCTTATATAAAGGTCACTCTTATAGAAAACAACAAGCATAGCTGCCCAACAATTCATTTGACCTCCCTTCAGCAGACATATGGGCGGCTTTCACGATCATCTCGTTCCTCAAATGTCAAAACAGTGTCTTCGCACGTCAAATGTCCTAGCCTCTACCCGGCGGCTGGGAGCTTCTGAACGACTGCTGCTCAGTGAAGAAATAGACGAAGCCTGCGGCCCACACGGCCCCAGCGTCCGAGTCATCGGTGCGTACATGAAGCAGCTATGTCGCACGATACCCCATGTAAACTTCCTCGACTCTAGCCAATCATCGCTTGTCGGTGGCCGGACCCAAATGATATTTGGGTGCGTACGAAGCGCAGCGTACGGAACGAAAACAAGTAATGGCACTAGCCGCCTGTCGTCCTGCCGTCATAGCGGAACGGTTGTCTGCCCAGCCAGCCCTACATCTAAAGCCTCACTGACCGTTCCAAGCATGTGAGTCCTGATTCAGGATTGCACAGAGGCAGGCACCATTCACGTGGATCGGCAATGAGCATTCGCCAGGGTAAATCATACATTTTCCTTGGCGAGCGGCATCGTTCAACGTCACTGACTGGCACGTCCCCGATCTGTCACCCTCTGCTATCTTTCTCTCCGCGATTGGCGATCAAAATCGATTACAGAGACTTGATGTGGAGAATATGGACTGTTGCAGTGGCGCGGCTCGCACCGGCTCGGCCCGCGGTGCCCGCGGTCAGGTGTTGGAGGGCGGCGGCTGGCGCATGAGAAAAACTACGACCGCGGAAGGAAAGAGAACAACGCTACACCATTTTTACACAAAACACTTCACCGTACTGGGTGGGACGAGGTTCAATATGTACAAGGAATTTCGGAGTAAGTCGAAAGCGCGCTATGACCAATGTTCACGTGGAGACCGTTTTCCTGGAAGGCTGAAGATCCAACACAGACAACAGATACTTTTGCCGGCCATTTTCCAGACAAGTAAGTTGTAGCAGTCGCTGCCCTGTCCAGATAAGAATGAATGCCTGTTCGAAAAAGAGCGTAACGTAAACACGTTATTAAACGCCAAAACTTACCGGGGAACAATTTATTCCTTGGCAATTTCTGAGGATCTTTGTTCCAAAATCTCCTTCCTTTGTACGATCCTCCTTCCTATCCAGATGGAGGGAGGAAAGTCATCAAGTCACCGCGGAAGTAATCGCCACTGCCAACATCCTCACTGGCGGGGACGTTGACAGTGACAGTTGGCTGCAGGTCATGGATACGTTATTTGTTGATGTCCTGTGTGGTCGTCACAGCAGCCGCGTGCTGCAGATGAGCCCCAGCAGTCGGTCAGCCTTTTGAGCTGGTAAGTCGACGTGAGTTGAACAAAACAAGAGTCCGGTCAATATCAAAAGGTGACAAGTATCTACGACGGCAATCTAAAACGGCCCGATCAGCAAGCAAGAGACAGCGCTGCGTGAATGCTGCTCACCACCAACGGTTTCGTGCATTTTCTGGGAAAACCTGGGAACACACATTTCACGCATGTGGCAAAACAAACAGATGAATTTCCCGCCTGTAAAATGCGAACCTTTGCAAATGTATGAGCGACTCGACACCTGATGATGTGCTGACGATGTTTGCCTTGTCTGTGCCTCTGCAGCCACCCAGAATTCTCCTTCCGTTTGTCTTCGGGAACATGGCTGTCGCTGTAGTGGACACAGTCCTCGGAGGACTATCTTGTCAGGCATTTCGGTCATCAGCACCCTAGAGGTTTGCAGGACCATTGATTTTTACATATTGTCCTTCCTCTCGCGAAAGCATCGTTCGCTGTTTATAGTGGTGAACGGGTAGGTACCTGATTGATGTGTTTAGCCTCAAAAACCCTCTATTTCATGCGACTGTGGTCAAGTGCTTGGACATCATGGTCACTTATCGGTAACTGAAGTCACCGTGTGATGATACTGCTCATATATTTACAATTCTTAACTTATTGGATGTAGCTGACCACCTGCGAATTTGGTAACCTGCCACTAGGTGGGTCAATGAGCATAGCGATGTGACCTGGCCGAACGTGTCAACAGTGGCCCAGTGGACGGGGTGTCACCAGTGGCACAGTGGACGGGGTCTGTCGACAGTTGCCCGGTGGGCGGGCCTGCCAACAGTGGTCCAGTGGACGGGGCCTGTCAACAGCGGCCCAGTGGGCGGAGCCTGTCAGGAGGGACGGGAGGTGCAGTGGGCTCAGTTTGCGAAAGCGAAGGTCGGCCCGTGTCATGTGCTTTGAGCCTGTCGGAAAGGATGTACGCCACCGTACCAGAGATCTATGACAACAAGTACAAAGACACACCGTCACGATCGATTGTCAGTGAGCATTTAAACACACGGGCAAGGTCAGACATCCGTCTGCTATGACATCCACGCCATAACCAATATGCACCGCCTTATCTTGCTCCCTTGCAGTGCCTGTTCTCAGCAGTGTGCCCCGACCGTCAGCGGTGAGCCGGTCTCAGCGACGCCACGTTTGGCTGCTCCGGCCGGGGAGCCGCACATACGTAGCTCGGGCCCTTCGTGCAACGTAATGCTCAGTGTCGGTCACCCAGGAATGCCACAGCACTACCCCAGCTGCTACCGAGGACTGCCACAGCACTACCCCAGCTGCTATCTCTCTACCCAGGACTGTCACGGCACTACCACAGCTACTATCTCCCTACCCAGGACTGCCACAGCACTACCCCAGCTGCCATCTCTCTCTCCTTACAGGGAGCGTTCCACATCCGTGTGGAGTTTTGAACTGAAATAGCCATCTCGAATAGCATTCAGTATAGCTCGCAAACCCCGCCCTTCTTGAGACCTAACCCTTCTAGTTTTTTAGCTTCTCGGAGCGAAGATGTGTGCATTATTTAGCGGAGACTATTTTGAGAGTACACAGACATCCATGACGCTATAATAACATTTATTGCCGTTCCGTTGGCCATACGTCTTTCACGGTCAGGAAAAAACAAACTGTCGGATCACTCATACCTGGCGTTCGTGAGCATGATTTCCGGAATATGGGCAGTCAGTTGGCTCTCAATCAATGATGTGCAAGGTACGATGACATAAGCAATAACATGTTAGGGTGCATATTTAGTAAACAACGAATATGTGTTGTATAAAGGAGGTCTTCCACTTAAAGGACATATCAAAACCTATAAGTGAGCTTATTTCGTTACATATAATGCTTCCCTCAATACCTTCAAATGCTGGACATCCCCTTTAACCTACAGTTTCGAAGTGGTGAATGACCGCTGAAAGAGCCGTAATTTAGCGAGCATAAAGACCGCTTACCCGATATGAATGTGCTACTAATTGATGCACCGCTCAATACCTCACCTGTGTATCAACACTAAGTAATGGCGTTCGTATTGTCTTTAACCCAAGTGGCTGCAAAATTCGTTCGTTTTGCTCCAGCTTTGCACATGCGGCAATATAATAGGCTGCGGGAAGTATCGTGCTATGGCAGTGGAGGGTTTCGAGGTCAACCCCCCCCCCCCGCCCACCAAAAAAGGGAAATCTAGTGTCGAGCTTATGGCTGTGAATGGCAAGGAGTGGTTCAAAATGCCTTTCAGGGCCCCTCCAATCCTGGACAAACTCCTATGCTCCTGGACAATATAACCGATGTTTGTGTGATAACGTCGCTTAACTCGCACCTTCTGGTATACGAAAGATCAGTCATATCAGCAGAAGAACCCCAAATTCACAATGCTGAAAAACCAGGAGCTTTAGGCGTTTTTTTGCCACCAGTACGCTCTGATTTTCTATTAGTGCAATGACGCAATTGGGCCCTTTCATGTTAGGCTTGTTTTGGGGCATAAAGTAGTCCTGCAATGCAAGCAACGCTGAAGTAATGACATTCACTTGTTGTAAACAATATTTCCCAGCTCCTTTTGCGAAGGAGGCACATTCCGATGTTATCATTTACCGATTTTACCTTTTACCGATACCGATTTCATACTTTTATCTAATCATTGGTAAAGGCAAGGGCAGTCAGGCTGCTTGTTCATCCATCCCGCTTTTCCTCGACGCCCTAAAGCACCACATCCCAGTAAGATTCCGGTATTGACAGTATATTTTCAATCAGTTGTCTAACATTGACTCCGGTTAAGACGACTCATGTCTCCGCGGCCACCTGTTAGTGACGCGTGTATGGATTGGCAACGCCTATGCAACTGGAACCACGAGCATGCGATCGGAATTATGAGGATATTTCGGGATATCTCAAACAAAACCCGTCGGCGGTTGCCAAGTGAACCGCGTCCAGCAGAACGCCAGCGACGCCACCAATGGCGGTTTGAAATAATGTTTCCAGAACTCTCACACAAAATAACTCCAGATCATAACTTCCCAGGATTTTCGTCCACCGACAGACCATGCAAGTGGAGGACAAAGACTGTGATGAATTAAACCGACAGACGGTACAATTAGGACACAGACAACATAAAAACGCCCTGCAAGGTTATTATGATCATGGACACCTGGTAAAACACATCCAGCCCGCTCTCCAAAACGTACATTTTGTATTTGGGTTGGGTTATATACAGAAAGCGCAGGTAATAGCACTTTGATTGGTGTGATTGTGACAGACCAACGCCGGATGAAGCATGGCTGGTAGCGTAAAGTTGGACCACTCCAATACCTCACGGGGTTTCGTACCATCTGACGAAGTCCCGAAAACACAAAATTTTCGGGCGGATTGCGGAAACGATCGGCTGATATTGGGCACAGCAACGACACCGCGTGGTTGTAGTTATACCTCACAGTGTTTCCAAAGGCTTTTGACGCTGCCGCCAGGACGAGACGGGCCACGGGGCTGCGGCATCCGCCCCTGATGTCAGTGGAAAGCGTCTCAGGTCTGCGTAACCCATACAGCACCTCTTCGTTCGGGCCCCGACAGCTGCTGCTTGGACAGACACGGAAGAGACGACCCAGCCTCGGGAGAGGATCAATAGGCAAAGGCTGGCAGTGCGGCCATGCTGGAGCTTCCTACACTACCGGCTGAAGCACGCCGCGATAGGGAAGAGAAGCTCGCGATCGTACCGCGATAACAAAGATACGAAGCTTGTCGAACCGTATGATGGAAACCTGTGCGTGACGGGACATACAACCCGTCATGATGGGGAACAGAAGTTTGTCGAGACGTCAGATCGAAACCCATCCTGCTACAGGACAGCAGATCGTCAACCGTGGGATGGAAGCTCGTGTCACGAAACAAGTCAGCACGCGACACTTGACGCTCATCCAGTTTAAATGACAGTGGCGCATCCTGCTAGCCCGAACGCTGAAACGGGCAAATGCGACACATTTGGACGCCGTTTGGTCGCTCACGCCCCACTGAGCCGTTTTCGATTCAGCGTCACGTAGGCTTACGGAGCGAAAATGCGGACCTTCGAACCTACAAACTTGGAATGGATACCGGCTTCCCTTGAAGACACATCGCCTCTGGACACGAATGAAGGTTCGTTGCACGAAGGCGATGCCGCAGAATGTCCGAAATCCTTCTCGAACACCGGAAAGTCAGGGTCATGACCCGGCGCGCACCAAGCACTTCCGCAGTAATTACCAAAGAAGGACATCATGCGACGGAGTTGGGGCCTGTCTCAGTCAGACCACGGCAGCAATGCGAGACCGCGGCGGCTGCCGATCTGCTACTCACGTTGCTGACGATGATGGAGTCGGAGAAGGACCTGGCGGAGCCGTTGTAGTCCGCGCCGGAGTTCATAGACGCGCCGTACCCGCCTCCTCCGCCGCCGCCGTACGAGCCGCGACCAACACGCCCGGGCTCGACGCCGGGCCGACCTTGGTCGAGGCCGCCGCGGCCGCCCAGGCGCGACTCGTCCAGGCCGCCGCCCAAGCCGTCGCCGCGCAGGCCGCTCAGACCGCCGAAACCACCGCCGCCGCCGCTGCCGCCGCCGCCAGACGGCAGCCCGCCGCCCAGCTGAGCGAGCGCCGGTGATGACAGCTGGCCGAGGCCGCCAGCGCCGGCCAGCGAGGTGAGCGCGCCCGCGCCGGCCAGCGTCGAGAGGCCACCCGCCGCACCCAGCTGGCCCAGCGCGCCCAGACCGACGCCGGCGCCGCCCGCCGACACGCCCACGCCCGGGACGCCCACCGGGAACCCTGCGGTCGGACAGCGGCCGTCAGACGCTGGCTCGGCACGCGCCGGGCCGGTGACGGCAGATCACGTGTCACCCAGGCGCCGACAGTCACGAGCGCAGGCGCAGACGTGTCTGCTGCGTGCACCCGGAACGCACCTCATCACATCGCGTCAAATTCTACACAACACACACGCACACACATATACACGTGACTCCGGCGCCCCTGACGACCTTCGCCCGGTCCACTGACGTCAAGGCCTGGCCTGGAGAGGGCCCCGCCAAGCGTCACTTTCAACACGGACGGCATTGCTGACGTCGCTGCTGGTCCCCTGCGTCCCTGGTCCCATATCATGCCTCGTAGAAGCACAGCGCGCGTGCATTGCCCATGACCGGACATTGGTGATGGCGGTCCAGCGGCGCGTAGCTGCGCCCGACTGACCTGCGGCGGCGGCGCCAGGCGCGGCGCCCATCAGGCCGAGCGCGGCAGCACCGTTGGCTCCCGCCAGGTTGGCCGTCAGCCCGCCCAGCTGCGCAGCAGCCACGCCGGCGGCCGGTGCCGCGGCCGCCGTCGGCGGAGACTCCGCTGGCAGAGCGAACGTGACGTCAGTGGGCGGAGTACGGACATCTTCGGACACACAAGGACACACGCCGGCAGCACACAGCGGACGCGGCCTCATCAGTGGGCGGTTTGTGACCACGTGTCACAACCCGCAAGGCTCGAAGGCAAGGCAAGGCTAGGCAAGGCTCGATCAAATCTCCTAACCGAACCCAAGACCACTCGCACCGTCGCACTCGGTGGTGGCAGCGCGACACCTCGCGCCGGCGCAAAATGACATGATTGTCGATTGGGGTGTGGAGGAAGCGCCGAACATCAAAGGGTCATTTTGCGTGGCATAAACCACGCACGCGCTTCGCAGTCGATCGGCGCCAGCCCCTCCCCCCAGCTAACTGCGGGACCGGGAGCGGCCACAACAGGGCTACAACAGCAAGACGCATACCAGGCTCCGTCAATCACTGGGGGTTTAGGGTGCTCCGACTGCTATGATCACTGGAAGCCCGCACGTACCGAGCTTGGAGGCGACATCGGCCAACGGTTTGCCGTTGGAGCCGAGCCCGAGGCCGAGGCCCTTCAGGCCGGGCGGCAGCACCGGGCCCGAGTCACGCTCCTTGCGGTCCGTCACGCGGTCCATGCGCACGCTGCAACGGCGGCCGACCGGTCAAGGGACTGCCACTAGCGGCGGGCTGAAGGCGGCGGCAGCGGCACGTTCCAGACACGGCCCCCGGCACGCACGGCCGGGTCGTCACCACCGCACGGCCGAGAGCGCATTCAAAGGCACTCGCTGTAGACACGAACCACACGACACATCCGTGATAGCTGATGGCATGGCATGGGTTATCATAGCAGGGCTATTGTCGGAGAATTGCGGGCTGCATCTGACCTGATGACCCTGTCCATGTACATCTGGTTGTTCAGCATGGAGATGGCCTGCACGGCCTCCACCGGGTGGTCGAACTCCACCACGCCGTGGCCCTTGCTGTTGCCCTCCCGGTCCTTGTTGATCGACACCGAGACGACCTTGCCCGCCAGACTGAACACCTCCTTCAGCTGCTTCTCGTCCACCTTGTAGATCAGCTGTAATGAAACCAAACAAAAATCAATGGACATCACACAACTTTCAACAACACAGCACTGTGGCTGCATGACAACACGGCGTCTTCCGTGCACAGCTCTTCGCGCGCTATCAATAGGGCCCTTATATCGCCCTTACGCCGCATGCAACGCCTACAAATGCTGGCTTTTCAAAACAGTCAGCTGTGCTGATAAGTGTTTAACCAAATCAATGGATTATTTGACATAGCAGAATGGCGCTGAAACGGCCATCCCGAACTCACGTTGGCCACAAAGACGCGGTTGACCAGTGGACTCTCGATGCCGAGGCTCTCCAGGAAGCTGACGTTGAGGCCGTACGTGTTGGTGTACTTGGCCTCTGGTGGCCCGGGCGGTCCGGGCGGCCCGGGTGGTCCGGGCGGTCCGGGCAGACCGGGCGGCCCGGCCGGGCCGGGCCCGGGGCCGCCGCCGTCGCCCATGTAGCCGCCGCGGCGGCCATCGCGGCCGGCCATGTCGCCGCGCGGCGGGCCGCCGTGACCGCCGCCGCCCACGCCGATCTCGCCGTGCGGCACGCCGTCGCGCATGATCCGGCCGTACCGGTCCCGCTCCACGCCGAAGTCCTGCCGGCAGCGGCGGCCGTCAGCCGGCGGCCCGTGTCGCGCTGCGGCCGAGCACCGGCCGCAGCCGGGGCGCAGACGCCACCACAGCACCCGCACATGACCTCGGACTCACGGGCCGGGGCTTACGGGTCATCGAGAGAGCAACCGACATGCCCAGGTGCGCACAGGGATCTGCAGGTGAGGAGGCGAAACCACGTGCACCAAGCTACCCCAGCCCATAGGACACACCGAGACCGCACCACAGCCGCCGCGTCCCCCGCCGAGCAGCGGCCGCGCCGTCCCGAGCCTGCTCACCGCCGAGGCGCCAGTCGACTGGCCCGGCTGGCCGCCAAACCCCACCTCCTTGACGACGAGCTTGCGGCCGTGCAGGTCGTAGCGGTGCATCTTCTCCAGCGCCAGGTCCACTAAGTCGTCCGACTCGAACTCGATGATGCCGCAGCCGCGCGACTTGCCCGTGTCGTCGGCGAACACCTCCACGAAGGAGACCTCGCCGACTGCGGCACACGGCGCGCTCGTGAACAGCGGCACGCAAAGGTCGCCGATACGACGTCATGCTTTATTGGCGAAGCAAACTTGATGTCGCCATGAACTTGGTTAATGAACAGGTTGATGTCGCCATTAACTTGTCCTAACTGGAGCACCACCTGTGCAAACCCCAAACAAAGGTTGCAAGTCGGACAGATGATGGACAAGCTTTTCTGGAAGAGATAATGCATATAGATGGATTGCAAAACGATATCAGCACTTGGCCAGTTATCATAAATGATAAAGCACAGGCAGCACCAGCTCACAATGGGAGACCACACAACCAAGCAGTATCAATAAATCTTACCCTCGTGACGGAAAAGGTCTTTGAGTTCCTGCCATTTGTAGTCAAATGGAATGTTGGAGACATAGACGCGACGCTCAGGTCGGCCACGCCTGCAGTAGAGGTATTATGTAAAGCCAACTAACAAGGCAACATACACATCAATCTACAGCATGCTACAATGGACAAATCTGTCATTCACACATCATTCCTGTTTTCGCCGAAGCAGAAACAAAAACAAACAAAACAATGACTTCATTGTGCTACATCCACCAAACGCTGGACACATCTTCCAAGTTAAGCATCAGCCACCACAAATACACAACCATTAACCCCCAGTTCTCTCCAGGCCGGCCGGTGCCGCGTCCGCCCGGTGACGTGTGGGCCGCGGCGCGTACCTGGCGGAGCCAGCGGCGGGCCGGTCGCGGGGCGGCCCGGGCCGGTCCCGGTCCCGCTCGTCCGGGAAGCGCCGCGGCGGCCGCTCCCGGTCACCGCGCATCCGGCTCGGGTCCATGTTGCGGTCACCGCGCATCGGTGACCTGGCGGCAGCGCACGTGGTCAGCCACCGGCCAGCCACAAGCTGAGTGTGTTGGGCACCACTGCGCTGTGCGGCGTGTCAGACGACACCGGGTGTGAGAGTCGCGAGCGATGGCACACACTGCCATGCGGCGCGTCAGACGACACCGGGTGTGAGAGTCGCGGGCGATGGCACACACCGCCATGCAGCGTGTCAGACGACACCGGGTGTGAGAGTCGCGAGCGATGGCACACACTGCCATGCGGCGCGTCAGACGACACCGGGTGTGAGAGTCGCGAGCGATGGCACACACCATCACATCACAGATGATATGATGAATGAATGCAATCACCTTCTCTTCAACAATAACATAAGTGATTAATCTAGCTGGACATATCAGCTTAGAACTAGACAGATGTCACTCTGCCATCCTGCCAATGAAAATGATTAATTCATTTGGACCTGAGCTTGGGACCAGACAGATATTATCTTGCCATCTTAATGTTCATTAGGTACAGTGCTGGACATCTAGTTCCAAAACTGTCACATCTTGTGGGCCCTGGTCCCCAAAACCATATTTGGTGTATGCATCACTACAGATAGTCAACTTGCAGCTGGGCAGGCTGGCAGGAGCATGTGTAAAAGCTTTGTGTTGCACAACAAAATCCTTAATTCCACCTGGACAATGGGCATGACAAAAAGATTTTCTGCCAGCTGGTATACTTGCTGGAGTAGCAAGTTATGCCAAATTCACAGTTCACTAAGGACAGCAAGCATTTGCATGCCAAATTCACCTGAATAGCCAGGCTATGGTCTTTGCAAAGACAATCAGCCATACCATAATCAGCCATAAAATGTTTCCAAAGTATATAGCAAAAAGCCCATCGCTAGTCTGTGCACACAGACTCAAGACAGCAAATAAGATGCCACTAGAAGCACTGGTGTCTCCCCAGCTGGAGTCACCAATGTTACAGAAGCAGACCAGGAGCCAGGTCACTGCATTCTCTTTACTTTGGGTAGTGAGGATAGAACCTATAATAAAGTGGACACCTGTCTGTTTTGCTTAGACTTGAGACGTTAAGAAATCCCTGGTTCTAAGGCAGCCTAGGAGACCATGGAAGAAATGTTGCAGAAGTGCTGAGATAGATGCATCTACAGGCTGTGCACAAGTCTTGTCATCACTGGGACTTCAAAATGCACTCTGCAGCTATGGCTTTATGACATTGCCTGCCTCTCACCCTGGCAGGAAGGGAGACCTCTGGTTTCCCAGGTCTGTGGTGGTTAACTGTGCACATATCTGCAAGTGCATTTATTCACATGCCAGATTCACCCAAATAGCCAGTCAGCAGAGTTTTCTTTTCCTCTAATAGCATGTCATCATGCAATATCACTGTTGTGTAGGTATTATGCTGTATATATGCGGTCAGCACTATAAATGTGGAGGATGTGGAAAGCTTGATACCATCTTGAAAACTTGAGTGCAAAACCCAAACCAACCAATGTATGAAACTGCCATCAATTCTAAACTATGACCAATTTCTGTACAATATTTTCACTCAAAAACTTACAACACCAAGCATATCAAAAGTTGCATGGAATATGGAATCAAATCAATGAGCTGATATTAAAGTGAATTTGTCAAATTTGAAAAGAAAATGATTAAAGAATGATTATGATTTATTATGACCTGCATCAACATGTTTGCACCTTTACAAGCATTGTGCATCAGTTGGAATCTGGTCTATAACTTTGTGTATCACTTGAGCAACCTGGCTGGGTATAAAGGTAACAGAAAACATCATACATCATTATCACATGACTTGGTGTGATGAAAAATAAGCTATGTGCATCATTAAATGTCTGGCAATTGCAATGATAATGAAATTGGATGGTTTGCAAACTGGATTCAGTTACACATCTTCAAAATGTGATGCCTATGCTCAGAACACAATACCACTGCATAACAAAATGTTATTTGGATGGATCTGGTTCCCCATCAAACCCATGGAAGCCAACACTCCCCTCACCCAGTCATCAGATTGGACACTCCAAAGTGAACCTGTTTGTTCCATTTAGGACCTGAACAAAAATGCCAAAGCACCTGTCATCCATCAAATTTAACAGACCAGCCTAATGCATCTGAAGCCAGTAAAAATGCAGACAGTATCCACATTTTATTCGCTCTAGACCGGTTAAGTATGCAGCTACACCTTTGATTGAAATATCGCTAACTATTAAACAATCTTGTAAATGGGACCGTTCCCTACATTGGTAACAAAACAGGTCAGGGTCACTACACTTCACAATTGTTCACTATGTAGCAGCTCTCTCACCTGTCTCTTCGACCATTCATGTTGAGATGGTTGTATGATATCATTGCTGCCTCAAAAACGCCGGTTGTGACACGATTCCAAAAATGCGGGTAATCAGCGTCCCGATGTCAGTGACATGCAGATAAGACGAAACAAGTGTCCGGTACCCGTAGAGTGAATCTTTCGAAGCGTAGTGGCTATATTTTTCACGTGGGATGCACTTCAGCTGCTTTGGTCCCACTGAATTCGTCTCTAAAAACCGAAATTGCGCGAGCCACAACCACCAAGCAAATCGACCGAGCACGAAGGACCGAGTTCGAATAGCGTCGCGTGTGCTTCCGCTTGGACCAAGAACACCGGCGTCGCATTTGTCGACCAACGTTTTAAAATGGCGTCATTGCGTTGTACTAACGCAGCATTTTTAACACTTCAGCGGAGTTAGTTCCTCAACCTGTTACTTTTGACTGCAAAAAAACATATTTTTACAGAAGGATAATCAGTCCAAGGATTGTTGAACGTTTTGTTTTCTTCATCATTCCGTACGACAGCTTTTCTGTCCCTGTGCGACAAGACCAAGTAACAGCCACTAGTTTTGTGATCCATCACTATCATCTCCAGCGTTGTAACCAATCACCGAGCTAAGTGGGCTGATTGGTTAAAAGTGTTGAAGCGCAATGCACACCAACCAATGGGAACCGTGACAATCAGTCCAGCTGAATTCAACCGATAGGGGGCCGGTCTGGCCACTTCTTGGGTCCTTCGTACATTATCGTGGCTAGGGGCGCAGCCAGGATTTTCTTTAAGGAGAGCTCAGTGGGAAAAATCACATTGCGCCGCTTTTGACATTCTGCCGGAATCCATTCATGATGAAAAAACAAAAATCCTGGCTCTAAAGCAAGTGCGCCCCTTGATCGCCCCCGCGGCCGTAGCGTTATATAGATGACCATCCGCAACGTGCGCGACGCATGTAACGTGTATGAACGGAGAGGGGTTTCCATGGAGCATTGCCGAAGCGTAGCTAGTGGGAGGGGGATTTGGCAGCATGACGTTTTGCTCCGGTATAATTGCAAATTATGGTTTAGCACAGGCGCAGGAACGGCTGATGCGTGGGTGCCTGCCCCCCCCCCCCCTCCCCCCCCCTCCACTTCCCAATCATCCAGGGCATTAACACTATAGCCACGCATGGAAAGAATCGGCTCAAAAATTGATATTAAAACCACATTTCCTAAGACTTAATTCCACTTTCTTTATTCACATGTACGTTGTTTTCAAACGCGCACTGGTTCACTCACAGAGCACGATTAAATTCCATTTTAAAATCATGCTGTAGTTCCTGTTCACGCCTAGAGAGTCTGCCTGGCAACAGGGGCGGCGTATCCGAATTGGGGATGGAGGCAAAGACTTTATGAAGGGCTCCCAAACCGCTCAGCCATATATTTCAGTCGGGCTATGTATTCGGTCGTAAAGCGCCTGACCGCCATTGCATCTCAATGAGTTACAGTGCCTGTCTCAACTCACCGGCGCCAGGGTGGTCAGATAAAACATTCGAGTTGCTTCAGTGCTCACTATTTCCCCCCGACTGGGAAGGCCTGTGGTCGGGGTCAGTCTGGTCGCCCAAGATCAGCTGGGTGGACTGAGCCGAACATTACGACCGTCAAACTTCTGCGATAAAGTTCGGCCGTTTAGCTGAAGCTTTTCGATCGGATGGTCGGGCGGCCAGGGTTCACACAGCCAGGCACTGCTTAGCGTAGGCTCGTACTTCAGGAATCCGTCCAGTTCAGTCACATTTTGCATGTTCTATTTATCTATAAAAAGTTACCCGAATGGTGTGCACCGGTGGCTTTGACCTCACTACCTATATGTGAGCCACAGCTTGCTCCTTCCACCCTGAACCGGCAACTTAAGAGTGTAGTTCCAGTGAAACGGATGATTTTGCCTGCGGTCATTTCTCCACACGAGACCAATCGGAGGAACCTTCTTCATGCTGTGCGAGGCGACGGGACAGCTGCCCCGTGCCAGGTTGGCTCCCCGATCACCAGCCAGAAGACCGCTAGGAAAACTATTCATTTTTTCCGGGACTCTAAGCCGGCACCACGGGATCCAAATGAGCCAACTTTCCCCTGGGGCGCGGCATCGGCCATTGCTGTATGTAGGTGAAACATTTGCCGATGTTCTTCGAGCTAATTATCGCGGACCTTGGATGCGTTCAGATCAAGCATCCCACCGCTGCATAAACGGCGCTATCCTCTACAAACTTTTCATATTGGTCGAGAATAGAACAGAAAACAAAACACACCATATGATAGCACGCTATCGCTTACCAAACTTCAGAGTTTACAAGGTACGGTTAAAACCTGTTCGCTTAGGTCGAAAACGTCTGTCGACTCTTACCAGTTGTCAAATGGCGATATGGCCATATCAGCTAACGTCATCGCTATCTGGCGTTTACAATGCACGTTTGAAAACATTTCACGGACCTGATCAGGAGAACTAAAATAAAAAACTGAACTTCCGAGCCTGCACACCTGTAAATGCTAAGCAACAGCCACGACAGTTTTGCTCCCAGTCGGACATGGCGAGCCCCGAAGAGACCGCGCTACGCTTTGACGTCGGTGACATTGCCACACAAATGCCGCCAGAACACTGATATTCGCTTGCCGCGGTGCCTGAGGACGAGTTCACTCAAAATCTGATCAGACTTAAGCGTAAAGGTGCGTGCCCGATGGTCATGGAGCATCGTCAGGTGCGACAGCCGCTTCCGATGTATCGTCGCACGGAGGCACGTTTTCACCAGCCTGATAAGAGGTACCTATCAGGCACATGAAATGCTTACTTTCTCAGCCTAGAATGGATGGTCCCCTGATTGTTAAGGACCTTTTTGAGTCTGTAATTACCGTTTCCAGACCTGAAAGGGCCTGGAAGAAAACTTCTCGGGTTTACTATGGGCCTTTCCTGATCGGAGATCGATCATTTCTAGGCCTAAACTTACTTGGGCGTTTCTTATTTGGGGGTGAACTACTTTCAGACCTGAGAAAGGTCCATCATAAGTTAAAAGCGGGGGGAGACAAGTCGGGGAAGGGAGGGGGGGGGGGGGAGACGCCGGGCGCACACATATCTCCTGTTTTGTCCAGACGGGCCCTTGGGGCTCCTCGGAACTGACGGCTAAGGGTACGACCAGGGGGCCCGAAAAGTTGGCTAGAGGCTGTTTCAAGGGGCCCCGGGCCGCAAACGTCCACCAGAGGGCCTCTGGCGCCGGTTGGGGGTTCATGGGGGGAGGGGGGGGGGGGCTGTGAGGTCCTGCCAGTCGGTCCGCGACTACGAATTTCGAACCGTCTGCCCCGTGGCGGCTTAGGTCCTGTTTCCAAAGCCGGGACCTTCCTGGGGCCCACAATTGGCAGCCAGGGGCAAATGCAGAGGCGGGGGGCATGGTCCCCGGGGCCATGGCCGCTCTTGGGCCCTGAAGGGGCCCACAGGCTCCGAAGGGGCCAACAGCCGGCCGAACAGATGCAGCTTTCACACAGAACGGAACAATATTGGACGTGCAGGGCTTCCAGGCGACCAGTAACAGTCGCAAGCGAAAGTAAAGGGCCACGAATAGACAAAGATGATTTTTCGCTGACTGACAAGGGTGCTGCATGGGATGCTTTAAGGCTCATCACACTGTCCAGAGACCCTGCGCTGTTTCCGGGGTTCTGTGTGTCCACTTCCATAGTCAATCCGATCGTTAAGGAGCTTTCTACGTTGCCGCTGATTTCTTTGCGATTGCTCGGAGAGCCCTGCATTGTTGCTGGAGCCCTTCCTGCTAGCGTGTCGGGGCACTCTTTGTCAATCGGGGACCTTCTACGAATTCTTTCCATTCGCCCGAAAAGCCCTAAACGCTAGAGCCAGAGGATCCCACGTGTTGACATGCTGGGGTATTCTCGGTTGTTCAGGGACCTATCACGTTAGTCTCGGCTAACCTACCGACACACCAACGATATGCCCATGGGCTCTCTGGATGGGTAAAGGGTGCTCCCAATTCTCTGTCGCTTTCTTCGGGCACTTCGCTCTTGTCGGAGACCCATGTGTTAGCCTGCTTGGGCTCGCTCGATCTTTCGGGTGCCTCCAAAATAACCTTTTCCGACACACGGGATTGTTCGCGGACCCTGCAAATTGGGTTTTGGTTTTTAAATGCAGGACCTTACGCTCCTGTCGGGGGCCATCTGATAGCCTCCTTGAGTACACTCGATCTTAGTGGGGCTATCCACACTGTGTGTGTGTGTTTTTTTTAGCACATCTCGTTTGAATGGAGGGCCTACGCTCTTGGCTCGCCCTTCCTGCCAAGGTGAGAGACAGGCGATGACATGAAGCCTCAGCAGCTGAGTGCTTCGTAAAGCCCCAGTGGCACGCACTCTTGTCGGGGGCCCTACCTGTTAACCTATTGCGGCCCACTTGATTGCTTCGGGGGCCCCCCGCGTTGTGTCGTATTTCTTCTTTGAATGGAGGACCCTGTGCTCTCTTCGGAGTCCTTTATGTTAACCTCCTAGGGTATGCTAGATTTTTCGGGTGTCCTCCACACTGGGTCTTGGGTAATTCTTATTTGAAATGGAGGGCCATACACTTTTGTTTGGCCCTTTCTGATAGCCCGCTCAGGCACATCCGACCGTTCGGGGACCATCTGCATTACGTCTTTACGGACTTCACGGATTACGGGCTTCCTACTTAAATGAAGGGCCCCACGCTTTTGTGGAGGTCCGATCTGTTAACTTTCTCGGGTAAACTGGATCGCTTGAGGCCCTTCACATTGTGCCGTGGGTGTTTATGACCTAACTAGAGGGCCCTATGCGCTGTGGGTGCTCCACTTGATCGGGCACATTCGATCATTTCTGGGTTTTCCATATTGTGCCCTGGATGCGTCTTATTTGAATGGATGAACCTATGGTCTTGTCAGGGCCCCATCCATTAAACTGCTCGGACCATTGGCGTGCCCAGAAGGGCAAGGGGACACGGAACCATGCTCCTTGTGCCCCAAGGGGGACCCATAGGCTCTCAAGGGGCCATGACTGTCAGAACGAGCGCAGTTTCTGCGCAAAGATCTTTGGTCCTCTAGACGACAAGGATAGTCACAAGCGAAAGTGAAGTGCCCTTGAGCAGACAAAGTTAGTTTTTCGCTGATTGAGAGGGTGGCGGTTGGGGACATTTTGCAGCTCATGATGTTGTCCAGCTACGTTACGCCGCTGGCGGGGCCCTAATCTCCATCTGCTGGATCAATCCCATAGCCAAGGACCCTTCCACGTTGTCCTTGATCTATTTTCATTTTCTCGTAGTGCCCTACGCTGC